GGGAGGAGGATGAGGTGGGTTGAGCCTTCACCCGGAGGAGCTGTGGGGTGGGGGAAACAAAAGTCAGAAAATATGCATGAGGCTGGAAAAGAGTCCCCTTTCTGTTTATAGCTGTTTAAGGCCAGAGCTTGTGGCTGTCTGGGAGAGGCCAGGTCAATGCTGACAAGTGGAAGGTACCACTGGAGGAATGGTCATTAGCAGCTCTTAACAATTAACAGCGGCATCAGTGAGGCCAAGTGACACTCTCTTTGGTCAATGGTTTATTGACATGTTTAGAAACAACCCTATGCATCCTTGAAGCCAGAGACCTGCTCTTCTCTGCCATTCAGCTCTCACCCTAGGCCTGGTGGAGGAGGCTTGAGAGCTCTCCTAAGCACATGTATAAACTGACAGTGTACCATCTTAAACCAATTCAATTCCCTTCCCCGCGATAAAGGACGCTGGTTCTGAGAAGATAACATCTCACAGTGATGGCTCCCCGAGCTGCAATTGAGCACAAATCCAACCGCTCTGTTGTACAGCTCAGCCAATTCGTTAAGGAAGGACAAGCGAGCTCATCTATTAACTCCATCATCATAATCAAATATTGGCACAAGGAACTGCTCGGCAGTGCAAAGTCGAGTGAAACCCCCATAAAACAATTATGTGCCCTTCAGGAAAACAACGTGCCAGCCAGTTGAGGGGAACCTTTGCATGGGTTGGCCTGTTTTTCTCCTTTGTGAAGGGGATAAAATCCCATCAACTTTCAAGTTAGGCCCAGCAAAGCCTCAAAGAGATCTTGTCCTTGGGGCTCCTGGGAAAGCTGGGGTCCATCCCCAACAGTCTCTGCTTCCAAGGGTGTTTCTTCTCAGGCATTTGGGACCACACAGCCAGGGTATCCAAGCAAGTCTGTCCTAAGCCTCTGTCAATTTTCCTGCCCCAGGACAGCTTGCAGATATCCAGTGAAGTGAGAAAAAGTTTCCAGTGAACACACACTGACATGGACATTCTTTAAGAAATCCTCCTACCCAAAACTTTGCTCTAAATTTTTCTGACTACAGTTCTGGCTGCATTTTACTCAGCCCTTCACATTTGTGCCTGTGGTACAGACACTTCCTCCTGCTATAACCCGACAGTGCTTGTACCTCCATGCAGGGACAGACAGGGAAGTTCAGTTCAGTTAATCAGACAATTGAATTTCTTGGTGATGAACCTGCCTGAAATTCCCATTTGACCCAATTCACTCAGCTCCAAATGGCCTTAATGTGATTTACCTTATTTCACCTTGGGAGCTCCAGCTACAGCAGAGCAAAACTGAATTATGCCAACTTCAGAAATTATGTTTCCAACACAGAGATCAGTGGAAAATTCTCTTCATTGCCACAGCTTCAAAACATAAATTCTTACCAGTGGAAAGGCTCTATTCTTCCAGGAGGGCAATCTGCAAAAATCACTGTCAGGCTGATATAACTGAACAAATCTTATTGATAAAAACCAGCCATCTCCCAGCATTTGAGCTAAACCTCAGAGCTCAGTTTGGTGAAGCTTTTTTTTATAAATCTAAGAGAGAAAAGTGTCTGTCTCTGTGTCCTGTCCCAGATCCGGCATCTCCTGTGCTGCTCCTGATGGCATCCCCTCTGCTCACGCACTACCTGTGGGAGCACAAAGCCACAAAATCATGAAATGCTGGAATAGTTTGGGTTGGAAAGGACCTAGAGCCCATTTTGTTCCACCCCTCTGCCATGGGCAAGGACACCTTCCACTAGACCAGATTGCTCCAAGCCCTGTCCAACCTGGCCTTGGACACTTCCAGGGATCCAGGGGCAGCCACAGCTTCTCTGGGCAACCTATGCCAGGGCATCACCACCCTTATAGGAAAGAATTTCTTCCCAATATCCCATCTAACCCTGCCCTCTGTCAGTCTGAAGCCCTTCCATTTTGTCCTGTCATTCCATGCCCTTGTCCAAAGTCCTTCTCCAGCTCTCTTGGAGCCCCTTTAGGCACTGGAAGGGGATCCAAGGTCTCCCTGGAGCCTTCTCTTCCCCAGGCTGAACAACCCCAGCTCTTCCAGCCTGCCTCCAGAGCAGAGGTGCTCCAGCCCTCCTGGGAATGTGGGGTTTTGATTCTCCCCATCATGGCACTAGTGGGATTTTAGGCACCTGCTTGGCTGGATGGTGACAGCTCCTTATTCTTCAAAGCCTTCAGAGATGCCAAACCTATATTCCCATTAAATCCTCCAGCTTAATAGGTGGGAAGAGCCAGGTGTGAAGTGCACAGTCCCTCAGCAGAGCTCCAGGTCAGCAGGGACATGGTGACCCCACAAGCCACAGTGAAGGACGAGGACAAAGCCCCGTGGGGACGCATCAGGAATATTGGCAACAGCTCGAAGAAAGACCATAGGAACTAAAGTCACAAACAGAACCGGGTTTTATTACGAAATAACCCTGCCAGTACATAAGGAAGTTCTGTCTGCAAAATACATTTCCTGAGGAAAGTAGATCACAGTATTCGTTTTCACAGAATAACATGTAGCCTGCTATAACTTTCAATGTGACTCTTTATTATTTAAATATTAACAGTATTCCTTCACATAAACAAGTACTCAGTCATCACATAACCAACACACAAACGACAAAATAAATATACAACAAGAGCACAGTTTGTTTTTTTCCCCGACTTAAATATTAAATAAATAATAAATACAGAATTTTCATTTCCTGTTATCAGTGCCTGAAACAATATGAATGAAAAAGAAAAGAAAAACTGAAAAAGTCTCTCTTCCCCCCGGTGCCCCTGCCCCTGCAAAAAAACAAACCAAAAAATTATCAAAATGTCTCAGTTATAAAATATCTTTAAAAAAATTCCCATCCTTAAAAGAATAAATAACAAAATATATAAAAAATAACTTGGTTGCATCAAAATTACAAGTAGGAGTTGTAGATAGGGGTTTTTTCTTTTTTTTTTTTTTTTTGAATATCATTTTTTATGGTCAAGAGTTTTAATTTTTAACTTTTTTTGCTTCTTTTATCTTCATTTCTATGGTGCAGTGTCCAGTTTAAAATAAGTATAAAATTAATAAATAAAAAAGTTAAATAAATAGCAAAAAGTTAACATAAGGTGTTGTAAATATAAATTACATACATCTTGCCAAAATTAAATAATTTACAGGATAATTAAACTAACTACTTTTTTTTTCTTCTCTTTCTTCCAGTAAGTGCAATTTCTCTACTTTTAAATACTAACTGAATTGCAGTCACAATCAATTTGGACTCTATTTACATGTTAAGAACGTTGTGTTTTTAACACCTCAAATTTTATATTCTTTTTTTTTCCCTTTCTTTTGTATTTTTGCACTTGGAATGGGTTCTAAAATAAGTGAACTCATGGAGTCTGATCCTGCAAACACTTAAGTATGGGAGCAAACCCACCCAGGCCAACTGCCCTGTGGAACTCAACACGGAACCGACACAATCGAGTCACTCATGGGCTTAGAGGCTGGATCCAGTGGCCACGGTAGCCACTGGGACTTTCCACTGACTTCTCCAAAGCGCAAATTACATCCTAAACATCTGCAGGATTCGGCTCGAAACAACACCACAGTCTTGCCTTTAGTAGGGGCCAACAAAATCCTCCCCAGCTCTGCCCCCCCTGCTGCCGGGAGCAATGCGGGATATGGGATGCAGGATGCAAGATGCACCCACGCTGGGACCCCTCGGGGGGGTTCTGCCCCATGGTGCTTGTGAAGTGTTTGGAGAAGGAAGCGAGCTCCGGATGGGAGCGGAGGTGGGGTGACAGCCGGCCCTGGAGATGGAGCGGGTGCTGCAGAGCAGCGGCGCAAAGACAATCATAGAGTTGTTCTTTAAGTGCACAGTGGGCTGCGTGTACCGAGCTGCTTACAAAATGCTTCTTTGGAAGAATACCCATTACCTGAATACTCTTTTTATTTGTTTTCCTTTTTTTGTTTTTTCCCTTTTTTTTTTTTTTTTTTTTTTTGTTTTGCAGAATGGCGCTTGCGCTGTGATTTCCCCTCAAATCCTAGAACACCAAACCAAAAAAAATACTCATTGCCCTGTGGATACCTGTGAGAAATCAACTCCCGATTCACGGTGTGTAAGCACTTTGCTGGCCATCAACTAACATCTCTCTTTTTGTCGGTTTTTGCCTCTTTTGTTTTGTTTTGTTTCGTTTTGTTCATCACAATCTCAACCGTTCTCTGGCATTGATGTATGATCTCTGGACTGGCAGTACTGCGCCACTGTAAGGATGATCACAATAATGAAAAGAACCAGAACTGTCATCAAACAGACTTCCAAAAAATCATATACACCGGACCATGACACATTAAAGAGTTCCTCTGTATGAAATATCTGGAATTGGCCTATTCATAATAGCTATTCTCATATTTAAGACAGACAAAGGAATACTGTAGTTGCAAACTCCAAAAGCTTCCCTGAGAACCTTTTTTCCATTGCGCTTTCCACTGGAGATCCAGAACTGCTCTTCAGATTTCTTTCAGAAAATAAAAATAAGCTACTTTATAATACTTCAGAGTTCCCATGCCCAGTGGATATCTGAACACTTCGGGGTTGGGAGGCCCAGCACAGGTTCAGATTTGCAGGTAGCTTGCAGCTCCAGCACTTGTAGCAACATAGAACATAACTCATGTGTGAGTAGGTGATCTGGACATACGACCATAGACAACATGAGGGTTTAAGCCAGTCATACACTAGTCTTGGATCAGACAAGACCCTGTTCTTGTAATGTTTTAACCCTTGGATCAACTCTGCAAGAGCATGGCAACTCATGAAAGTTGCCTGCTCTTCACCTGCTACCAAGTCCCACAGCCTACTGGAGAATTTAACCTTCCATCCTGATCTACCTCGTGGTCCAGGTAGAAAAAAAACCACTTTTCTCAAGAAGGTCCAAAGCTAAGTAAACGAGAACATTGAGTTCGATCAGTTCCATGTCTCAGAAATGGCCTCTTGGTTCCATTTTGGTCCTTTTTTTTCCTTTTTTTTTTCTTTTTTTTCATTCATTAAACAAGTTTTCTAACTTGTAAACCTGAATACTTGGAGGGAAAGTTCCATCTTACAGTCTGTTTGCTTGCTCATCTCCGTCCCGCGGCACTAAACCTGGATGCCCTTGACGGCTTGCTTGATGCTCTCCAGCAGGTCCTTGTTCTCCGGGTTCTGGTAGCATTCCTGGTTGGTGTACATGTCTGTCAACGTGTTCACATATGCATCGAAGTTCTGCTCACTAATTGGCTCCTGCAGACAAAAAAAAAACCAAAACAAAACAAATGAAAGGATTAGTAGAAGCACAGGAAGAGGCTGAAACAATTCTTTGCAATAAACCATTTGCATATTTTATTGTGGATGCCTGAAAGTGTTCAAGGTCAGGTTGGATTGGGCTTGGAGTAACCTGGTCTAGCAGAAGGTGTCCCTGCCCATGGCAGGGGGTTGGAACAAGATGAGCTTTAAGGTCCCTTCCAACCCAAACCATTCTATGATTCTATGTATGTACTGGCAGTCAAAGGTCTCCACTTCAGGAGCCTTTTTGTGTGCGGTGCTGTACCTGTGGGAATCTCATCATGCAACCCCTGATCCTGCCAGATCTTAACTGGATCCTTAATTTTATGGATTGGCCTTGTGGAACTATTAACAGCATCAGGTTAAGCACATTCAGGCAGTTTGACAGGCTGGAGGCTGAATAAAGCCATGGAAATGAAGGGCAGGAGAACAAGAGGACTGGTGGAACATCACAGAAGGAACCAAAGGCAAAGTCAGGACAGAAGCCTGGCCACCTTGAGCTTACAGCTGCCCAAACCAGCACTCTGCTGCAGTACAACTTCTGCTTTTGAGGGGCATTGTGGAAACCTTGCAAATATCTCATTTGGAGTAATGGAGGGAAAAGAAAGGGAGAAGAAAGAAAAAGAATAGGAATAAAATGAGCATACAAGTCTCATGGGCATTATTTAATTGGAGTTGCCTGAAACCTTGAAAAAATATTTGCTGAACAGTTTATTTGACCTTTTTGTGTCAAATACTTTACAAAAAAGCACTCAGCGAGCGGTTTTCTGCCAGTTAGGCAGCTGGGTGAATACTATCCAAAACTGCTCTGCTGGAGGATGGCTTCTCTCCAACGAGACTGAATTTAAATACAACCCCCAATGAAAAGGATTCCCAAAAAAAAAAAAAAGGATGGCAGAAAAAAATAAATCAAAAGCTCATTTCTCTGATCATTGCAATGGTCTTTATGAGTTGTAAGAGGAAAACTTCCTCAATAACATGAGCCCCCCCTCCACACACCTGGTTTTGACAACAGTAATTACATTCCTGGGAATAGAGCGAAGGTAATTAATAGCCTTTTGTGGTTTTACTATTTTAATGCAGTCTTTTCATTTCTCAGTAACTCTACAGTAACATGCTGTGGGCTGTTAGACCTTGTTAAATTAAACAAAATACATTCTCTTTAAGAATGCTATTCTTTGGCTGCCAGCTATTCAAAACCGAATTGAAACTACCTGCATTATAATAGGAGCTCTAAGATCTTTCTGACGTTTAAATCCAATCCCTCCTGATCTCTGCTTGTGCTGTCTTAGCCTAAAAGGCACTGGGTGCCCTTGATAAAGTTTCCTATTTTGTGATAGTGCTCCCAGATGTAATGAGACAGAACAATAGATACAAAGGGAGATCAGCAGAAAATGACAACAAAAGGGAGATATAATGCAAGCTTCAGAGATAAGGGAGAAGTACTGATCTTATAAAGGACACGTAGGTGTATGGAGAGAAATTCTCCCAGTCTTTAATTGTGAATAAGCCTTATTGTGAACTGGGTTTGGCACAGCTCCCTTGATCACACCGGCTGGGGCGAGCGCTGTCTAAGTTCCTTACCATGTGCGGAAGGCGGATATTGGCAAGACTTTGGATTAGAGCCTGGCTCAACCCTGAGAGCTCCAGGAACAGGGCTTCGTTTTGCTCCTCTATTATTTTGTTTTCCTCCTCGATGTTCTTCAGGTTCTTCTCCATGGTGGAGATCTGCAGAGCAAGGAGCACAGCAGGGTTACCAACCCTCACCGGTGGCACCCACCACCACCCAGTGAGGGGCTTGGCCATGCCCCCGTGGGCTTGGGGGAACATTCAAGCACACAAACCTGTGACTGTAGTTTCACCATGGCCGCTTCCATCTCCGAGTTGGACTCGTTCAGCTCACTGATCTCCTTGTTCAGCTGCTTGATCTCTTCATCATTCTCCAGAACTGCAGGAGGGAAGGTCATGGTCAGTCAGCAAATGCTCTTGGAAAAAGCAAAATGTTGGGCTTTCTGCTGAGCCCATCCTGCTGCATAGACATCTCCACTCCCAGCGTCCTCGGGTCCTCACCTTGGCTTTTACATCCTCTAAACAGGATGCACATCTCACCTGCATTTTTTTTTACCTTAATTTTTTTAAAATTAAAGTTTGGATCATCACAGTTCAATGATACTTGAATAGGTCAATATGTAAATGCAAAAGCAAAGGGCAGCTGAGCGGCTGGAGTCCAGCACATGCCCACACCCGACAAGGTTGATTGTCCTGAACAATCAGGTCACCTCTCCAGTCCTGAGTTTGGAAAGATGCCATTTAAAAACCTAATGCATGTCTTGATTAGAAATTACGAGGTTCATAAAAAAAAGCAGTATTTCCAGAAGAGTGCAGGTATTTATAGGTTCCAAACTATATAAGTGCTCAAGTTCAAGGCTCAAACCTTGTCAAATACCACAGAGAACTCAGTAATAGCACTGGAAAAGCAAAGTGCCATCACTAACAAAATTCCAGATCCAGAAATATCACAGTATTAAAAGCCCTGAATAGGTGAAAAGTGCTGAATGACTGCAAGGGATTTGTAAAAATGCCAGTGAATATTTGAAAAAAAAAATAAATCTCAATTTCAGCATTAATTCTTTTGCCTTCTTTATTGTCACTCCCTCAAAGTGTGTGACTCAGGGAGTGGGGCTGGTACCATACCATCCCCAGCACCCAGAAAACCCAAGGAATGGGTTTTCATAGCACATGACATCTTTGCAAATCTGTGGCCAGATTTCAGCTGTTGAAACCTCCTCAGTCTGCAAAGAAGAAGATCTACAGGTTCAATACCCCAACACACCTGCAAGGCAAAGGAGTGAAAATCCTTACCGTCGCTGGTCTTGAACTTTGTGTTGAGAATTTCATCCCCTGAGAGTTTTCCTTTCTTCCCAGCAAAAGTAGCTCTTGGACACCCTGACAAACTGAAAAACAAGTAAAGATGGGTTTCATAAACTCTCAGTATTTATAGGTGCTTGTGTTCCCAACAAGAGCACGCACCATTTGGTGGAGTTCACGCTGTGAGACAGTTCTTCTAAAAGCTTTTTATGGTACAGGGGAAATTGCTTTATGAATAATGCCACAAAACTCCCCATTTATAAAGTGAGAGCAATTTTCTTTAAGCAAGGATTAAAAAACACACTGTTTCCTAAAAGACAGGGTACACCAGGTGAGGAAGGCGAGATGAGTCTCGCTAGCTTGGGCATTAAGCCCCCTGTTCATGGTGCTCAAGTGCTTTTCTAATATGCTAATGGAGATTTAGATTAGATACCTACAGGGAGGTAGATGAGTCCACAGCAATGCTGTCACACTCACACTGATTTCCAGTTCTGATTTACCTTCTGTGAGTGAGGAAGCTCCCGTTGGCATGGCCGGAACCGTCACAGCCTGGGGTAGGGCAGGTTGGGCCTTCATTCTTCAATGACTTCCAGGAAAACGAGGAGCCATTGAGTGATCCTTCCTTCTGCCTGCGGGCTGCGAGAGGGCACCCTGACGCACTCCGGTGAGAGGCGTATTTGCCGCTGATGTGCCCGAGCCCAACACAGCCAGGAACAGGACACCTGGGCACAGGGAACCACCAGAAATTACGGCGTGGCCATAAAGAGGAAGGAGCGGAAGGAACGGATAAAGATGTGAGGAAATTAGGGATGAGCAGGAACGGGGGAGCCTTGGAAGGGAGCATTTGCATTTGGGTCTCGTCTCAGGTTTATGGGGTAGATACTTAGTTGATGGAAATGGCAGATGGGAAATTAAGAGCTACGACTGCTCCTTCAAAAGAGTCAAAGAGAACCAAGGAGAATTCTGCAGAAGGAAAGACTGTGGAGGTCACATTGCACACAGCAAAAGCAGGTCCCGGTGGAGTCAAAAACCATTTGTTTGGTGCCTCACTGAGGGCAAAGATGGTGGTTTGGGCTGCAAGACACGGGATCCTGAGATACCGCAAGGTTGACACTCTCACACTGAACCATCACAGGTGTACAGCCAGCTCTGCACGGTGCCACTGCTGAGGAATGCAGGGTCATCAACTTTATCACCCTACACTAGCACAGTCAACACGGTCTAGGAGCACTGTCTGTGCCCATGGGGACACAACCCTTCCCTGTGAGCCAGTCCCTGAGCCAGGAGCTGCTCAGGCTGTGACCTGTGCGTGAAGAGCTGTAAACCTGCTCCTGCCAGGAGGATGTCTGAGGAGCTTCTGAGCTTGTACCCCAGCAGACAGGACGAATCACTATGCCATCACTCAGCCTGGCATGACCTCACTTGCCTCCTCCTCCTCCTCCTCCTCCTCCTGGTTCACATCCTGCCTCTGTGGAAAGATCAACCCACGCTCACAGAGGGATAAAGTGGGAATTACCATCAAGGCAGCACATGAGCCCTCCTACCCCCGCACTTCTGCTGCTGTTTATGGATGGCTGAAACCCACGGGAGCTGTGAGGAGCATCGTGGAAGCACCAACACAACTTGTGCTGTTGGCAAGCAGGCGAGTGGCTCTCCAAAAGGCACCTCTTTCCTCCCTCCTCACAGCCCCCCCACCCTAATGGCATTCTCACTAAATCCAGCCGACCCACAAGTCCAGTGCTATCTATCAGGATTTCTGCTGTGGTTTGCATTTGTTTAAAAATGCTTGCCAATTATAAATACAGTTAAAAGTTTATTACTCGGGGGAGGTTGCTCTAAAATAAGGGAGGTGGAAGTAGGTAAGAAATGCCAAAAATAACCCCCCACGTCCTCAGTATGGAAGCAATTAGGGACTTTGAGGCTCCCCAGCAAAAATATCCACCGAGCTGCTCCTGAAAATCGCAAGCTGCGTTTCACTACAGAAATTATTACCCTGATTGTTTACATTCTGCACAAAAGGGAGATGACAGCAGAAGGGAGGGGGGCTCTACACCCAGCCTTTCCCCAAGATAATTTGAAAAATGCTGATCTCGATTTTAATCAGCTGCAAATGCAGCACAATTCACTTATAATATCCCTGCCAGCAGGATCCTCAGTAAATTCATAACATCATTGCTTTTATATGATCACGAGCAAATTACTGAATCCTCAGGAGGAAAAGGAGAAGGGGGGGGGAGGAAGGAGAAAGAGAGAAAGAGACAAACCCCAGGATTTAGTATGCAGCCATTATGGCCCAACCGTTACATATTTTACGCTGTTAATTTAAGTTTTATTACATTTTCATTGTTAAAAAATAAACCAGAGCCTTATTGTGCAAACCAGCTGTCTTGGACATTTTTTTTAAATTATTTTTTGTTAATTATTATTATTTAATGGAAGCACCAGCAGCGTTTGATCAATTAGACACCTGTGGATGCTTCCGTTCTACGCCAGGGCTCGGCTGAAGGTTGAGGTGATCTGTTCAATCACGTCTGCAGCAAATTACTTGAAGGATGAACAGCAAAAACAACAGGGACTAAATGACTTTCTCCTTGGTAGTGATGTGCAAAGCTCGGCCGGGTTCCAAGTGGCGCTCGGTGCAGACGGAGGGTGGATTTAGAGCCAAAGCTCCTTATCGCAAACCGGCACCGGGCACACCTTGCTGTGGGCGGTGGAACACCCTTCCCACGGGATGGGGGAAGGTGGCAGCGATGGATTGTTGCACCATGTTGCTTTGCACATCTCAGAGGAGCTTCTGTTCCTCCTGGGTGTGCTGGAGAAGTCGGGGTTACTGCCTGTGCTGTGGGATATTAGGGAATGCCTTCACCTCCTGCTCTGTAGAGACCCTCAGATCCCACCCGGCACTGCCTGCCCCAGTGCCCACAGTCCCACCAAGACCAGTCTGGGGACAGACAGTATCAGCTTTCCAGGAGTCAGGAAATCCAGTTCTGGCGATGCTCCAACCCTTTTTGAAGCTTGGAGCCCAGAGAATCTATGGATGTCCCGCCCCTGGAAGTGTCCAAGGCCAGGTTGGACGGGGCTTGGAGCAACCTGGTCTAGTGGAAGGTGTCCCTGTCCATGGCAGGGGGTTGGATGAGATGGGCTTTAAGGTCCCTTCCAACCCAACCTATTCTAGGATTCTATGATTTCTTGCCAGTTTAGCTTCCCAGCGTTTTCATCTTTAGGGTGAACTGGGAGAGAACCCAACCCCTGATGAGGATGCTGGTGGGACCATCATTCTGCTGTGGGAGTCCTGACAGCTCATCCCATGTTCCAATACAAGCCCCAGCTGCACTATAAAAACACAGCCACATAAAAGCCCTTTTTCTCCTTGGACTGGAAAGTTATTTTTTTGCAGAGAAAATGCACTGGCGAAACTGCTTGGCATATTCCTGCCTGGTCCTGTCCTGAATGGGAAAGGCACAGATGAGAAAAACCACAGCTTCCCCAGCCCCACAGGGCACGTATCCCTGTGGAAAACATGGATAGGGATGACCTCCCACATCCCCCTCCAACCACAGTGAAAGCAAAGGTACAACAGCCAGCAGTTGCACAACAACAATTTGCTGCTCGTATTTTCCTTCCCTGTGTCTCTGGTTAATGGCCCAGCATTGCAATGCCACCAGCAACTCAGTGTATTTGAGCCAAAAGAGGATTTTTCCCACAGATTCTCAAGTAGGTTGCTTAATTTTTAATAAACTCTGCTAACTCCTGCTAATTATCACACGGCTCATTTAACTGGGAGGCTTTCCTTCCTGTAGACTGAGGAGGAAGAACAGAGCAGATGGCTCAAATATCATCTTTTTCTGAAAGGTCCTTATGCCCCAGCAGGCACATCTCAGCTTCCTGCAGCCCCCACGGGATACTTCCACACCCACTGGGTCCTGCTCCAGCTCAGCCTCTGCTCCAGGACAAAACCTGGGCACACAAAGATATTCACCTCTGATCCCCTGCAAAGGCAAAACCAGCCCTGGGGCTAAAATAAGTTTAAAAAATCCATTTGGAGACAGTCTGATGATCCAAAGGGGTTTGGGCAGATATGCCAGCACTCATGGGCAACTGGAATCTCTTGGAGGGAGTTGATAATTTTTCCCATGTTTCTTTTTACCCCCTTTCACCTGCACTTGCTAGGTGAGTGGACAGGCTCCAGAAAGGCTGGGGATGCTCTGGGTTAACAAAAAAACAAGATCCTGGAGTCAGTGCTGCCTTTGATGTCCTATAGCTGTATAAAGGGTTGAGACACTGACCTCAAACACCACATCAGGCCATGGACACTTAGCCTGTGATGCTTGGACTTCTTAAAAGTCAGGCCAAATGGATTTCACAGCTCATGAAAATTCCTGAGGTGCACTAAGGGATTTCAGATCTCTATTCCCTGAAGGAATAAACCTCCTGAGACATTTTGAAAACTTCAGCCCGAGGCAGCAGAGAAGGGTTTTATTCAGTTCACTCTGAATATTCTGCCCTGGCAAAGACTCTACAAAACATGTTTTATTCAGGGTTACTGGATCCTGACTGGACTCATTGCTGGATAGTTTCTATTTCTACTGTGTTCCTGGGAGTTAAGCAAGTCCCTCAGCTCTCATCTGCCCCTTGCTGCCCGAAAACCTGCAACATTTGGCTTGATTGTGGGGTTTTACCCTCATTTACAACACTGGTGGGTTTTCTTAGGAATTGTATGAAGCACAGGTAGCAGAGAAACTGTTTGTGCCCTACCAGCCTACCTTTCACATCTGCAGAAACAAACAAGAAAACATACACCATTACCTCCCCAGCACCCAATTTTTCAATCAAATTGCAAAATTGCAACACCAAAAAACCAACAGGAAAGCTTTGTAGATGATGCTCAAAGCAGAGTGAGCCAGGAGGGATGTGGGAGGGATGTTGCTCCCCCACGTAAATCTGTGTGAGGCAAAGGGGATACAGTGAAAAGCTCTACTCAGGAGTTATCCCCAGACTTACTTCATCAGCTCTGGGTCTTCTTTATCATCCTTTGTCGGGGTGATCTTGATCCCACTTTTCTTGGCACGAGGGCAGCCTGACAGACTGTGGTTAAAAAGAGAAGAAAGGCCTGTCTCACTGGCAGAATCCCTGCCTTTGCTATTCCCCCACTTCAGTCATCTTTCCCTTGAATTTGGCACAGTGTTTTTTGATCTCTCTCGTTTTACAGCTTCACACCACGAGAAGTCAGAAGAAAAAAATAATAAAAAATTGAGCTAGATGGACAGTAATTAATGGTGTCTAGATAAGAAGATATCTGCTAACAGCCTGCAATGTTTAATGGAATTGTTGAAACAGAAGGCTCAGATCTCTGCTATTAATGTTCTAAAGTGATAATAGAAATCATAAATAGGTAGCAATATTAACAGGAACATTGCATCAGCTAAAATCTGACCCTTTGTCTTTTATTCTGTTGAAAGGAGCTTCTAATCAGATGCTGGAAACATCAGGAAAAAAAAAAAAAGAGAGAGAAGTCAGATTAAAGAGATGAAAATAGGCTTCAGTTGTCAGTAACATTAATGTTTTATTCAGAACTTTACAACTCTGCCCACTGCAGGGGAAAAAAAAAAAAAGGCAACACAGAAAGAGGCTACAGAGAAAATAATTTAAGGGAGATCTTACCTTCTATGCGATGCATAATTTCCTGTTATGTGACCAGAGCCATCACAACCAGGAGTAGGGCACCTGCGGAGGCAAGGGAGGCTCGGATTAGCCCGGGGGTGCAAGCAGGGGGTCGACACTCTGCGACAGCTCATTTCAAAGAGAAATCTAGGGACTGTCAACACAGAAGCAGGTTTTTCCTTCCTGCCCCTTCTCCCTCTGTAAGAACAAGGCCTGGTCTGTAATATCCACAGCACCAAAGTCAGCGCATCGCTGTGTGATGTGGCGTTGGAGAGGAACATCGGAGGCAAGATGTTGGGATGTTGGGGGGGATGTTGGGAGCACAGTGGAGTGGTTGCTCTCCAGGAGGGACACAGGTCCCAGCCTGTGTCCCCACCCTCAGGAAGGGGACAGCTCAGGAGCTGATAATGAGCTAAAAAAACCCTCCAGGACAGTGTCTGTCATCTTGAGGAAGCCGTAAGGAGACAGCAGGTGCCATCCAGGGCCAGCAGGATGGATGCAAGGATAGAAAAGGAATGAGAAAAATAGCCTGGACAGGGGGCTCAGCAGGGCCACCACCAAGAGGAAGGTCCCAGTTCAGGTCTGGGTGACTTGGGTGTGGGGGGTGGCTAATCTCAGTGGGGGCAAATGGACAGCCCGTTGCAGGAGGGTACTCAAAGTGCAATACCAGCCAATGCTTCTGATGGAAAAAGATGAAGGAACAGGAGGAAAAAGGTTAGGTTAACCCTGGGTTCTCTTCTTCATCACTGTAGGCAGGACACAGGGGGTGTTGCAGGGTGACAGCACCTCCTGGACCTCGGGCTGGGGGTCGCCAGGTCACCACACACGGTGCCCCAGCAGCTTTTGGTGCTTCGGTGCAGAATCTGCCCTCGGTCCTCAGCCACTGCCGTCACAAAGGGACCTTTGAAGATGCACCCAGGGTCGTGAGTTTGAAGGTGAGCACCCAGCACTCTGGGATGGCACTGAGAGCAAAGCCTGGAGAATGGTCCTGTGACCACCCAAACCTGCACAAAGGCTGGCAGGGCTGCGAGCCCGCCGAGCGGCAGCGAAGATGATGGCACGAGTTAAGCACCGCATCGTTAAGAGCTCAGAGCAAGAGCGGTGAGGGGACATGAAGTACCACGAGCACAAAGATCTGTTCCGAATGCTGTAGGTGACGCGGCGGACATAAAAGTTGTCATGGGGACAAGGAAGAGAGGCGAGGAGTGTTCGCAGAGGATGTGCACGCCAGCCTGCCAATTAGCCAGGGCTTTTTCAGTCAAGTGATTAGGACCGGGGGAGGGGTGGGAGGGGGAGGAAATCCGCGGTGCTGCCGCAGGACGAGGGGGAGATGCTCGGCTGCTCCTTCTAACCAGAGCTCAGGGCACATCCACGAGCTTGCAGAGTGCCCATTCTCCTCGGGGAAGAGTTTTGCTGTGTCCCACCTTTCTCAATCCCTTTTTGTAAAGCCACCAGTGCCTGGTTTGGACCACTGGCAGGTACCTGCCCTAGAACAGGGACTGATGTGTGTCCAGGACATGCCAGTGGTGTATGGGCAGCCCCTGAGGTCAGTGCCCTTGGGAAAGGCAATATACTTTCCCAAAGGTTGCCCAGGGAGGTGGTGGATGCCCTGGAAGTGTCCAAGGCCAGGTTGGACAGGGCTCTGAGCAGCCTGATTTAGCTGAAGATGTCCCTGCTCACTGCAGGGGTTTGGACTAGATGGCCTTTAAAGGTCCCTTCCACCCCAAACTATTCTGTGGTTCTGTGCCGGTGCCTGGCCTGGGCAATGGTATAATTGGGTTGCTCCAGCCTCTGAGAGTCAGTGAAGCAATGATTTCCACAAATGTCTTTTATCTGGTAGCTTGGAAAACAGCCTTTCAAAAAGCCCTCTTTTTTTGACCAGAAAATATCAAAATTCTCCTCTTTGCACAAGCTCAGAGGGAGAGTTTGGCATTTGCAGGTCATTGAATAGTCTCTGTTGGCAAAAAAAATTGTTACTTCACCTCAGATTGGGAGTACAGGTACACATCCTGAAGGGTGTCAGGGACACTAAGTCAGGACCAAGGCTCAGCCTGCTCAGATGCAGGAAAACATAAATGCACAGAGATCCAGAGCAGTTAAGAGCAGGGATATATCCAGCAGAACCCCAACAAGGATGCAAATGCTTCGACTCATTTAGAAATTACAGGTTTGGGAGATGACTGTGACATTTCCCTGCTATACACTCTTAAACTAGAAAGCAAAACTATTTCTTTGTTGTTCTAGCTTCAGGGTGGGAGGAAATTATGAAAACACTAACACCAAACTCTTTCTGCCTTTCAGGACTTTCAAAGAGAGGAGAGAAGTAATTTGATTTTTATTTTTAATTATCTGGAGACAAATCATACCAACAGAGACCTTTTATTGCATGTTCCAGCCTGGAGCTGTTTTTTTTTATATCAGGGATATTAACCCCTGAAATAGAATTTATAATAGAAACACTGACATGGTCTTATCTGGAGCTGTGAAAAGCTATGACTGTGCAATCTGTAATATCTCCAAATCCTCTTCTCTTCCTCCCTCCTCTGCTCCCATCCTCACCAAGACATAGAAAAAAAAAGAGTATTTGAGAAAAGATATTAACAAGCTTTTTTTTTCCCCCCAGAAGTCTATTTTATACCGTATTTTGATAAAAAGCACTGACACTGGATGCCTGAGGGGGGCAGGGGATCCTGCACAGCACAGCTGGGTGCAGTGTTTGATCTCAGGTACAACCCTGTTTGATTTTTGTCTGGTCCTTACTGGAAGTGGGCACTGCTCCCAAGAGCTTTTAATATCTTCAACACTAATTTTCTGATCACTTGGCTACTCTTTAAGGCTGTTGGAGAAACACCAGTTCAGCAAGATTCTTTGAAGAGGTTCTTTCAAAATATACAGTCTATAATGCATGATTAAGTGTACTTAGCACTAACCACGCCAGTCCTTTCCATCCACCAGCATATTCTATTAATATCAGCTAATCCTGCCACTTTTTCCACCTCTGTGATAAGGAGCAGGCATTTAACAAACACTTTTCCTGGTACCAGCACCCACATTGGTTGTGGGGCACAGAGCAGTCCCAGAGCCATGCGTCCCTCCAGTCTGTCACAGAGGGATTTGGGACTTTATCAATCATCTTTGTGACCAAAGAGGCTCCCCCTGACTCACCCATGGCTTCAAAAATCCTTGACTGTGTTCAGGACACAGCACATTTGTGGTTTTTTTCATGGTGAGCCTGTGCAATGGGAAGCTCTCCATTTTACTCTCAGTGGGGGCTCTCCAGTTATAGTTGTGAATATCTCAGTGTCTGAATGATCCAAAAACTGGATTCAGCAAAGCAGGGAGCTCAGAGGAGACAAAGGTAGGCTGGATCCATGGAAGAAATTTTGAAAAAGTTCTCAATGAGCTTTCCCCCAAAGAGGGAGTTGTGTGGAGGAGGCTTCAGGTCCCCCCAGTGTCTTCATCTGCTTTAAATACAATTTCATCTTTCTTGAGGGAAAGCAACCTAAGAGAGCATCTGGGAAACCCTCCTATGAAGAATAAGCTCCTACTGAAAATGAGGAGTTTGGGGAAGACACAGTAAAGGTGAAAACAAGATTCAGAGGAAGATATTTGACTGAAAATGTCAAAACCAGGTTCCTCTCTTCAGAAGCAGCAATGGAAACGGGGAAAGTCAGATGCCTGTGAGCCCTTTGCCACTGGCTCAGGATCTGGCCTCACCAAACATTTGCATACTCCCTCCTTCATTCCCTCACAAATCATAGGAATGAATAGGAACCTCTCTCACTACATCCAGAACAGCCACTAAAATTTAGCCTAAAAATAGCATCCCAGGTTCTCCAAAAGCATTGGCTTTGCTATGTCCTGGTGGTGTGTTCCCACCTGAGTCTCTGCCCGAAAATAAAGCATGAGCCTTTCTCCAGGTTTTGGATTATTTGAGATGTACAAAAATGTTAAATGAAAAGGGTTATGGCCCAAACTAGGGAACAAGAGCTTGAGAAAAGAAAATAGCATGTCTACAGTGCCCAGAGGAAACCTGCCAGACATTCAGGTAACTTCCAATCACTGCCATGAGCCCCTCTCCCCAAAATAAGCCTTCCTTCATGCCATTGCCTCTTCAACGTGACAGCTGGAAGCTGGACTCCACCAGAGCTCCTTGCAGGTAGGTTTTGATCAGCTCTTTGAAAGGAGAAGGGAAGGGATGGAAAAGCAAAAGCAGAGCAAGAGGAGTGGGGGCAGGAAGGGAGAAGAGAGAAAAAAGGGTGGAAATAAAGAAAAAAAAAGGAGTTCCAAGTTGAGCGCAAACATACTTGAGGTCAGCAGAGTGGGCAGCCATGAGGTTTCTGAGGCTCTTGTCAGCAAGAGGACAACCAGAAAGGCTGAAAGAGAAGAGATGGAATATCTGGATAAGCAAAAAAAAAAAAAAAAAAAAAAAAAAAAAAAAAAAAAGGAAAAAGAAAAAAGGGCTGGGGCGTGGGGAGGGAGAGGGGCAATAGAAGGGGGGGAGGAAACAGAACCAAACTATCCACATGGTCAAAAAATATACTAAAAGAAAAAAAAAAGTTGTCTTTAGAGTTCAAACCATGAAAAAAAGGTCAACCCACCTGCGGTGAGAGGCATAGTTTCCCGTTATGTGTCCACTGCCATCACAGCCTGGGGTTGGGCAACTGGGCAACAACAACAACAACAACAGGGATCATAAATGTGGGAAAGGACTGGATTCCCCAAGAGCCACGGATGGGCAAAGCCAGCTCAGCCCCCTCAGGGTCTATCAGGTGGGTCTCAGCCCAGCCCCACTGCCAGACCCCTTACACCAGCTCCATCCATCGGATCTCGGTGTGTGTTTGTACGTTTGCATGGACATAAACCAGACATTTCCCCTTCAGCTCCCTTTCCTCCCTCCTTTGTTCCCAAAAAACCTAAGGATCCTGTGAAAAAAAATTTTAGGAATTGCATAAATTTGTGGCAAATGCAAAGGAAGTGTTTAAAATCCTTAGTTGCTTGGAGTGCTTGGTGGCAGCTGGGGACTGACAACAGCCTGCTGGGTGGCATGACCTGACAGGTATGAACATCCCTGGAGGGTGCTGCCAGGTTGAATGATTCCTGCAATACTGAAACTCTGGCTGCAGGAATCATCTTGTTCAGTTTTCAGAGCTGAATAAGGTGTGTCAGATTTCAGGTTTCTGAAATGATTTGGTTTTTTTCCTCCCAGCTCTTTTAGCTGCAAAGAAAAGCTTGAAAACACTTTTCACTGCAGAGAGGGAATGAAAGTAGCCTCTGACTGTGTGTCTGGAGGCTCCTAAACAGAGGGTAGGAAGGAGCTGCTGCATCCCACCCACTGCCTTCAGTGGATGTACTTCCCATCCATCCCTCTTCACTGCCTCCTCTGTGAATTGTACTTTCATGGGCAATGGAAAAAGGTGCTCTCCCTTCTCCATGTCCAGGGAATAAAATCCAGTTTGTGCATGAGCAGCAAGGCTCTGGCACAGTCATGCCCTCCTGCCCCAAGTCAAGGGTATATGAGAAAGCAGGGATGTCCTGGGGCACTGCAGGGATACCTTGGGACAACCTGGCCCAGCAGGTTGAGGCTTGGAGGCACCTATTCCCTGCTCACCCTTGAGTCCTTTCCCAGCCACAACTCCCACACAAACACAGTGAGCCCTGGAGCCAGCACTGATATGGTGATGTTCAAGCAGCAGGGATGTCTGGCTGTGTGGTTCCCACTCGTGTGCCAACAGGAGGGTGATGGGAAGATACAGGTGAGGAGCACCTTCCCTGCCATCTGTGCCTGGAAGTGGCACAAGAACTACATCCAGACACGGAGCATCAGGCACAGCAGGCAAGTCTGCTCTTAACTACAGCTAATTCATTACAGCCTTTGGGCCAGAAAGGAATAAGGATGCTAAATGGGGAGGGAAGCCTCAGCACTGCCCATGACACCATTTATTTATTCCAGGGCTGTTTCCATTCAGGAAATTTCTGTACCATCACAATAAAATTAAGACACGGGAGGACTTCAGGGCTCTACCTCAGAAATTGCTATTCACGGTGCTGCTGGGTTTTAAAAAAGCCTTTAGAGCTTTGGATAAGGGCAGCTGGTCTGTGCTTTGCTCATTTAGAGAAGATACTGCTGCTGCTCTCCCCCACAGATCTCCTCCCTGCCTGTCTGCTCCCTCAGCCTCCTGCCTGCAGAAGCCAAGTAATGAGCGAGTTGTATAAGGTCAGTAAAACAGTGCCCACCAGCTCTTCCCTGTTTAACATACAGGGGGGTCAGATACACAGGAAAGAAGCCAAGAACAGCTGGGATGCCTGGGAGGGGAGACTTCCAGCCTGATCCCGAGGTGCTGTTAGGTCAGACCGAGGTCCAAGCTGCCATGTTTGGATCAAACTCTTAAACATCAACCATTCCTATGGGAATCAGTGTGGATGCAGAGCAATACTTCATCTAATAGCACAGATCTAGGTCAGTACTTCCACCCACCCGATGAATAGAGAGATGTAAGCTGGGGCAGGGTCTCTCTCCAATGCAAACTGCAGCCTGACAGCAATTTTGCTGCAGCCCCAGGTCACACTTTGTGACCCTGGATTATCACAGTGCTGGGACCCACTGCTCTAAGCCAACGAATCCTGTCTTCTCAATGAGACATCTTGTGGTTCAACACCCCCATCAAGAAGGTGCTGAGATCCCTTGGGTGCTCTTGGCTCCACAGCATCACCCAGTGCCCTAAAACAAGGGGTCAGGAGATTGGGCAGGCTCCTTCACTGTGCCAGAAACACTCTTGCAGGAAACACTGAGGAAAAGAAAGGGGGTTTCCTCAACCCTGTCCATGAATCCTGAGAGCACCAAGCTCCCTAATAGGTTCTTTTTATCACTGAACAGTAAGGCCATGTAGGAAGGTATTTTTCCTCATTGATCAGCTGTTGTACGAGGGTGGGGTTTCTCTTGAGCTTTCATATGAACCACTCAGATGAGCTAAGACCAACCACAGTAAGAAAGAGAACTACAATTCTAATTTTTAAAATTAATTTACTAGCAAATTTTGTCTCCTACCAGCCTGGCTGTGCTAGGTACATATTTAGTAGATTTTGGAGGAAGAGACAAAAAGGAGGACTTACGTGAGCAGCTCTTTCTTGATGTCCTTGGAGAGGAATTTCAGCTTGAAGTTGGTTAAAGTAACTTCCCCTGGGTATTTTCGCTCTTCAAAGTTTTCCTCTGACACTTCTTGCTCATCAGCTTCCGAGGAGGCAAAAGAGTGAGCGGCAGGTTCTGACTGCAAGAAAAGATCCAGGAACAGGGATTGTAGTGGTGGTCATTGCTGCTGAACTGTGGTGGGAAAGATCCCAGCTTCATTCCAGTTAAGAGTGCAGCATTCCCAACACTCCTGAGCCCTCTGAAAGCACCTCACAGTACCCAAACCATGGATCCAATAGTCTGTAATTTCCTGGGTTTGTAGGAGAAATGTGTAAAACGTGTCTGTACGTGGATTTCCATGTGGATTTCCCTCACCCCGGCCAGGGGGTCATGGCTGGATTCCCCACCTGCAGGATTAATGTCAGTGACATACAGGGCCATCTCTGCTCATGGGAGATATAAATCCTGGCAAACATCACCAGGAGCACCACTGGTGCAAATGAGCTGAAAGGATTTACAACAAAGAAAGCACTGCACACCCAGGGCAAGGAAAGTGGTGGGTTCTTCCTTTGCAACGCCAACGGTTCTAAGACCATCTGCCTCCTGCCTGCTTGTCCCTGGCTGATACCTGATAGTACTGACAAAGCTAGAAATATTTCTCTCCTAGGCTCAAAGGGCAAACTAGGTGTGTGTGGAGGGGAAGGGAACAGGACAACTGTGCGAGCAAACATGGCATTCAATCGCCCATGAGGGAGATTCAAGCATGAAGAGTCACTTCTCACCTCTTCTGGCTCCTCTTCTCGCTGACGGTTTGGTTTAGTGTAGTCAATGGGCCCATCCCATTCATCCTGGCGGGAGGTCTGGCTGGACTGGGGGGAGGTCATGGTGCTGCTCGTGGCACTGGTGCTGTTTTGGCGCTGCGACACATCTGGGGACTTCATGCTGGGACTGCTGCTGCAGCTGCTGCTGCTGGGAAAGGTGCTCTCCCGTTTGCGGTGTTTGTTCATACTCAAGTCCAGAGTCCCATTTTCATCCACCTCAATGTCCATGGACTGAAAGGTTGGAAACATGCCCAGTGTTAGCAGCTGCCAGCAACTCCCTGTGGGGATCTTGCCCCCATTTGTCTTTTACAGTGCAGCAGGCAGCTTTTCATGTCCCATCCTCTCCACAATCAGTTATGAGGAACTGAATGAAAAGGGATGCTCTTCCCTAAATATTTGAGGGAGGTGTCATGAAAATGCATCCCATGTGGCATTTTGACTCAGTTGATTAACACAGGCATCTAGTGCCACTTAAGATGCCCCATGGGATCCAAAACATCTGCCCATGGCTCGGGGTGCTCCGTAGGACTTCTGGAAAACCTGTGTTCCCCTGAAAAATAGCTGGAAATCAGTCTGGATGCAACTGGGGAATCTCAAGTGGCATCAGATACAGATCAGTGAGCAACTGAAACCAGTTCTGAGAATCACAGAATTGTTGGGGTTGGAAAAGCCCTCTAAGATCATCGAGTCCAAATGTTCACCCAGCATGGCCAAGGACACACTAAACCATGTCCCCAAGTGCCACATCTACGTGTGGCACTTTAATCCCTCCAGGGATGGTGACTCCACCGCTGCCCTGGGTAGCCTGCTCCAGGGCTTGACCACTGTTTTAGAGAATAAATTTTTCCTAATAACCAGTCTAAACCTGAGACTTGGCTTGGCAATGCTGCTCATCTCCCATGGGTAATTTGAGCATCTCCACAGCACATTGAGAGCCAAGATTACCTCCTCCAAACCACACCACCCAAAGCAGGGAGCGAAAGGGTGATTTGTGATGAGTGTCTGCATTCCCTCTACGCTTAAAAACTGAAACGAAAGGAAGGGTAAACCAAGGTATTTCTCCCATCCCAAACTTCAAGTTTGGCCCCTGGGCAGTGGTCCCCAGGCACATGCACCCACCTTGCCGGGGGCCTCTTGTTGCTTGGTGCTGAGATTCTCGGGCATCTCCCAGCAGCGTGTGGAGAGGTTGAGGATGGCAGTGGCAGCCATGTGCGCAGCCTCAGCGTCGTGGGAGTAGTCGAAGCCTGTGGAGGAAGATGAAGTGCTCTTCACGTAACTGCTGGAGGGGCTGTGGCTGGGGGAAGAGGCCTTTGGAAAAGGTTTGGCTGGAATAAAAAGAGAAGGAACAACACAAGGCTGATGTATAACCGGCATGGGCAGCAGAGAGAAGTTAGCCTGACACAGTTAATGTATTCACAAGTTCCTGGGGTTATTCCCAGTCCAAGGGCTGGTTTGTTGCCCGAGATGTGCAACAGGAGCAATGCTGGCTGCAGCTTGTGCAATGGTCTCTTGGTGTGAAAGGTTAATTCGTTAACTGACTCTGCCATCAATACCCAAAACACAAGTGCTTTTCTTCGTTAGAGCTACTCCTCGGTGGAAGAAGCTAAAAGAGAAGGCCTAGAGAAGCTTCCTGGCTCTTTTTTTGTCCTCTGTATGTCCATAATTTATCTGCAGAGCTGTCTTATGGGGAGATTTCTAGTAGTACTTTTGAAAACATAAAATTTAAAAAATTACATTATTAGAAAAACCATGGTAATAAAATATAAGCTTCCAAGGATAACGCAGTGAAATACAGATTTCCTGACAGCTGACATATCATTTAAATATGCCTGAATAACTGGATTTATTATACAGCTGCCACTCTGTTACTGTATGTCACAGCAGCAGCAGTGCCAACCTGGAAATGCAATTTCTCTTCACACCCTATGAAACAAAAGTGAGTATTTCTCAGGGTGAATGCACAATAAAACTTTCCCTAATAATAAATAATAATTTCCTATTAATAAGACTTGAACCTGGTCCCATTTAGGGGGGGACCTGACCCACACAGGGTCCCTCTAAGTCAGTAGTTTCAGTGGGTGCAAACAGGATCATCTGATTTAGAACAGTCACAGGATTGCATTCTGAATCAATTACCAAAATCTTCAAATTCTGAATTTATTCCACTGTGCCCTTTCTGGGGGAAACCACCCCTCCTTTAGGGGGAGTCTCACCCAGGGAAGATTCCTAAGCTTTGGCCTGATGATGGCAAAGCAAAGACAACCTCTGTTGATGCAGCTATGGAGCAAAGTGATTTCATTATTCCCATTATGAACTTGTAATATAAGACACTATAAAATACTAATCTTCCCCAGCACCGCTTTCTTCCTCGTTGCGTGCGTATATAATGCATATTGACATTAATGGGAGTTATGCACACACATGCAGGGGAATATAAATCCCTCTGGATGAAGATCTCTTTAAAATAAGTTCTCAGTGAAAGGAGCAGATTTCCCCGCTATGATTGGCAATCATATTCATCCTGTCGCTTTGATTAACTCATTGGAGGTTTGCCCGAATGGTTATTCTCGTGTCTGGCTGCTTGTTTTCCCGTCCGGTTTAATCCATGTCTTTGTGGTGGGGTGTGGGGTATCCACCCTCCCAACCTGACAGTATTCAGGATCGGGAGATGCCAATTTCAATTTCACACCGTGGGCTCAGCCATGCTTTTCCATTTCATAAGTATTTCTACCACTAATAGACTCGCAATCAGCAAATTAGTGAAATAAGTGATGAGAAAAAATAGAAAGGATTATCCTAGTGGGTCTGCTGGAATTATTTTTGTCAGTACAATTACCCTGAAAATTCTTTGCTAATATTGCAAATAACACAATCTATTCAACGAGAGAATCACTTGTGCTGGGAAACAAATTACTTTTCCATCAGCCCTAACCCAGGATGACAGTGGCAGTTGTGCTCTCTGGCCTCCATCCAATTTCATTGTCTGATCCTGTACAGATTTAGTACTGTAATAAAGGGCACTCCCATTGTAGTGCAACAACCAGGATGCTTTCAAGTACAAGCACTTTTTTACAGAGCAGCTGCATCAGGATTAAACAGGATTGTGGAAGTGGGATTAGCCAGACAGAAAGCCCTCTTGAGGCTGCTGACTTCTGCAAACTGGGCTCCTAAATCTTTCTTTTTTTTTCCCCCCTCAGAAAGATGTCTTCAGGTACATGGCTGGTGTCAAAGGGAAGGGGGAGGTTTAACACTTTTGCACAGGCTATCTTCCCATGCAGTGTCCCTCCTGCCACAACAGCCCAGCCCCTCAGGGTTTATTTATCCATTTCATTTTCACCCACAGTGTTATAACCAGTGCAAGGTCCTCAGAACAGAGCAGAGGTGGGTGGCTACGACATGAGAGAGCTGGAAGATAGAGGTGGGTGATCGATAGGTAGCAGAGCTGGAGAGCAGAGCACGGCAGGAAAGACAAATGGGTGGAATGGGTCATATATAAGATGGAAGAGAAGAAAACTGTAATCCATTTAGCTAGATGAGGAAAGACAGATCAATAGATACGAGCTGCAAAGCAATGGGGACCAACTGAGGACAGCTGTGTAACTTCTCCCACCTCGAGACATCACTGAGATTAATGTTCACACTACAGTTCTTCCAAAAGCTGAGGCCAAAGCAACTCTCCTCCAAGCAAAACTTTACCAGCGGCCATGGGCTCCTCTCATCTCAGCCTCCCCATCCCAGGAGGGATCCAGCAGTTCAGCCCCAAGCCTCTCCCATCACCCCAAAGCCACAATCCCAAGAGCCTTCACAACGTGCTGACAAAGTCAGAAAATGCAGAAACCCAGCCCATCCCTGCTCCCAACTTACATTTAAAGGCTTTAGGTGAGGTTTCGCTAGTCTGAATCTTTGGGGCAAGCATGCGTTTGCCAAAAACCTGAGCATCAAAACTTGCATAATCGAAGGTGACCTTGGAGTACTTCTCCAGCTCCTTGGCCAGGTTGGCCCGTGGGGTTGCTGGGACCATGTTGGGCCGGTAGCTTCCGTACTGAGGGATCTCCAGTTGCTTCACAAAGCACATAGGCCTGAGGATGAAACAAGGAGCAGCAATTATTTCTCCTTTCCTTGGTGAGATGACTGTTGGGAGGGGACTAGACGTGATGGGGATGTGTAGCTGCACCTTGTTCCCGAGGGCTTGCTGGGCATGAGGAGGCAGCAACAGCCCTTTTGCGCTCCCTCAGCAAGTCTGCAGCTGGTTTGGATCTCTTAGGTTCCATTTTTATTTTTTCACCCTTTTTTTTTCTTTTTTTTTTCCTCTTTTTTAAACAAAACACCGAGATGTCAATCTCATCCGAAACAACAGTCCTGCCCACTGCTGTGGCATGGCAGCATTTTCCAACACAGCACAGGAATGGGTATCACTCACTCATGGGACCCATGACACGGGGTGGCACACAAAGGCGTGAGGACCCCAGTTCAGCTCCACTCCCCACTGCAGGTTCGTTGCAGAGGCACCAGGGCCTCTCCCCTGCCTGCAGTCCCTCCTAGAGCCCCGCTTCGGCGGGGCTGCCTATCATGAATCAATTTGTCTTGCATATAAATTGTATATAAATGGCCTATTGTTATTCTCCTTCCCGTGACCTCTTTCCACCAGTGACTCCTCGGAGCGGGAGCTCCTTGGAGCATGGGCCGTCCTCGTGATGCGCTCAGAGCGCTCTGTGCCCGGTGCAGGCTCCGCTGCAAATAAATAAGTAATCGCCCTAAATGGCCTTTCCAAAGCACCGAGCACTGGTGCACCAGGGTGCTCAGCAGTCCTGGGGAGCAAATAAATAAATTAATCAGAGCTCGATGCCTTTGTGGGAGTGCTGCTCGGGGCTCGCACCGCGGTTTTTATCCTGCTCTCGCTGCAAAATAACAAACCATATTACGATCCATCTGTAGCCTCATGAATCACATCAGCTGCGGAAGCCAGCATCTATCAGGGACATCCTTAATGTGAGACAGGCCTTTCTCCCGGGAAGATAGAGATGGGCGAAATATCAAAACAAATGTGATTGGTTTGGGAATGAGTGGCAGGTTCTTCTCCCCTGAACCGCGCGGGCTAAGGAAGAAAAGCAGGTGGACTTACACGCAACTGCCATGGAGTGATTTGTATGTAGCCTAAATCTCCTCCTCCCCCTCCCTGAGTCCACCCTACTTATAATGCTAATATAATAGCCATCACTGGCTGGCAGTTTGTGCTGCAGAGCGATCGGCACAAGTGCCTTCTGCTGCACTGGTAAAACCCTTTGGCCTGTAGCCTCAGCATTAATTGATGCTACAGAAGCAATTCATTGTCCTCAATGCTCTCCCTGGGACCATCAATTAAATATCTCCCCACCTTGGCGAGACCTATGATCATAATAACAGGACTCAGCAGTATCAAGATACAGCTCCTGGGAGCGTGGCCTGGCAGGGAGGGCTGGGGCAGCGCAGGGATGTGGTGCTGGGCTTTGCTCTCCCGCTTACCTGAGTATTCGGTCAGAGTTGGAACTGGTCTTTGAAGGATCACCAGACTGGGTTTGTTGCTTTTCATGTGATTTGGCTAATTTTTCAGCAGCAGCAATGGGGCACCCAGATAAACTGTGGGAGTTCGGTTTGTTTGTTGTTTTGTTGTTTGGTTTTTTTTTTTTGAAAGAAGATAAAAAAAGAGAAAAGAAAACCAAGCATGAGGAGTGAGCATGAAAACCTTCATTTCAGGGACCCAGAGCTACACTAAGCCCATGAGAAACATTTGCTTCTTCCACACTGAACGAGTAATGAGACAAACTCACCTTGCACCTGCAATCACATTAACATAGAATCATGATTTATAGAAAGGTTTGGCTTGGAAAGGACCTTAAAGCTCAACTAGTTCCAACCCCCTGCCATGGGCAGGGACACCTTCCACTACCCCAGGTTGCTCCAGGCCCTGTCCAACCTGGCCTTGGACACTTCCAGGGATGGGGCAGCCACAACTTCTCTGGGCAACCTGTGCCAGGGCCTCCCCACCCTCTCAGGGAAGAATTTCTTCCTAATATCCAATCTAACCCTGTGCTCTGGCAGGGGGAAGCCATTCCTTCTTGTCCTGTCACTGCACCCTTATAAGAAGAAGCCAAAGCTGGTACCTCCTGTGCGTGTTGCGGTTGCTGTTGACGTGACCCTGTCCTGTGCAGCCTGGGGTGGGGCATTTCAACACGTTCTCGTGCATCGCCAAGACTTCAGAGCAAGAAGGGGAAGGGGAGAGGGGAAGGGAAACAAAAACAACTTAATAAAAATCAGAGAGAAGGAAAAAAAAAAAAAGACAAAACCATCAAGTCTTGTACGCTGGTTTCCTAGAAATCAGGGAACGTGAAATGTCGTAGTTAGAGTTTGTGGAGAAAAAAAAAAAAAAAGATTTTCAAGGCAGCAGCACTCAGGTCAGCACTAGATTAGCATCTCTACACACAGCCTGGGCTTTCTCCTCGTTTTCTGATTGCAATCCGGTTTCCCCCATCTAGTCCCTCCTGCCCATCCATGTTTTGGAACCAGTTCTCCCAATTTCAGGTAGTTTTAAGTGATTGAAGTTGTATCTCTGCTTTTATCCTTAGGACTGGTCTTTGTTTGATTTTTTTTTTTTTAATTTTAATCTTCAGGATTATTGCTTCCTGCAGCACTGACCTTAGAAGTAAAGAAAATAATTTGATCTGCAAGCTTTTGCAAAGCACACAGCTTGTGTTAGTTATTTATTAATTTTCTTTTTTTTGCATTCCAGCCTGTGAAGATAGCTGTACTTTCTTCTTGTTTCCTGTAGATCTGTGTTTATGGCAGGTCTGCAACCTTTGAAATTACTGATAAGGAAGGGCTCCTTTTTTTTTTTTTTTTTTTGTGGTCTATTATGCCATTATCATAAACATGCAACCTTGATTTTTATGTATCTATGCAGGGAAAGCTATTTAGGATGCTGGTAGAGAGGCAGAAATAAAATATCTCTCCATGCATATACAGAAATCTGCTATGATGATGATAAATATTTTCTGTAGAACAGGTGAATCTTGATATATCACCTTGTGAATTTTACAGTGATAAGAGCATAGAAGAAGACTCAGCTACCCTGTACATCCTGAATGACTCCTCTCCTTTCCTGCATGTCCACATGTTTGGACAGCAAGGAAGAATAATATCCCCTTCTTCCCAAAAGATATCCCATATGGGGAATAACATGTGACTTTCGGTGTAAAGATGGGCACTGCTTAACACACTCCTGGAGGTGGGCAGGCATTTTTAAAGCCCCCCTTTGATTTTCAGAGAAGGGACCTCGTTCTCCACAGGATGGTGCTAAAAATCTTTAAGAAGGGCAGGACTTCCAAGCAAATCTCCATCACATTTCCTGTGAGTAGCAATAACACTTTGGTGGATAGCAGCATCCAGGATCAACCTGGAAAAGCACCATCCCACGCCAAAAACTCTGTTATACTCCAAGGAATAACATCAGGCTCGTGCTAGAGACTCAGCCATAAAACTCACATCATTTGGGATTATCTGGAGAGCTTTGAGGCAGCGCTACCCATCAGATGTGAAATTCCCCTTAGGAAATAAGGCCTCAGAATAATTTAAGCAGCCCTTGTTATCCCACCATGTACTCACTCTCGGGGGGGATCCTGTCTTTGTGCGGGCAGCCGGAGAGGCTGCGGTGATGAGGGTAAAGCCCCGTGACGTGGCCGGTCCCGTCACAGCCAGGAGTCGGACACTTGATTTCTCGCTTCTCGGGTCTCGAAGGATCTGAGGATTGTGGGGAAAGGGCGGTGGGGAACAGGTTAGTGGATTTGGAGGGGAAGAGGTGGAAAGGAGACAAAAAATTGCTGAGGGTGCTTCCCCTACCGCTTTTGCAGTCAAACAGAGAGAGACTTTGGGTTTGGAAGTTTTTTTTCCTGGAGGTGGAATTGTAACACAGGAAGTTGAAAAAATTGGAATCAGTAAAGTAATTTGAGGAAGAAACCCAGTTTGGAGCATGGAGCAACTCACAGTGACTGAGCAGGTAACCAGCTCAGTGCCAGAGGATGCCAAAGCCCCTGCCCCTCGTGTTCCTGTGACCAGACTCCTACCTCTACTTTAAAACCCCCTTGTGTTTTAAACCAGCCCTGCAGCTCAGACTCAGATTTTCAAGGCCAATGGACAATTTAGCCAAGCAATTCCTCTGCTGAGAGGAAGGATGGTGTAGGGCTCATCATCATTTTGTGCATTCGCTGTTGACCTCTAGGATGTCCCCATCCCTCTGGGCATTGAGGATTTGTGGCTAAATTCTCCCAGTGGGCTGTGATCTCCCCCACCATCAGCCTGATTATCACAGGGTGCTGAGCAGACAAGTTCACCTCTTTTATTGGGAAAGGAAGGAGAGGTTTGCCCCTGTACCTTTGCCGTAGTAGCTCTTTCGGATGCTGTCCAGCGGTTTGCTCTGTTTGTCATCCACCTGGAAGTGCTTTACGTGTTCTCCTGGCAGCCGGCTGGGCTCCCGCACGATCTTCACCTGCTCAGCTTTCAGCGCGATGGCTTGTTCCAGCAGCCCCAGGTTCCCCCTTGTCATCATGTCGTACATCTCTGACTCGTCGGTCACGGCTGATTTCTGGGACCGGGCGTCGTCGTCCTTGTCATCGTCCGACCGGACCTCCACGATGACCGAGTACTCAGGCTTTGGGCTGAACTGCCCTTCACAGTGGCTTTTCTGCGTGTCCTGAGAAGTGTGAGGAGCTTCTTCGCAGATCACTTCAGGAGCCATCTCCTCCTCCTCTTCATCCTCATCTTCTTCCTCTTCTTCCTCCTCCTCATCATCCTCCTCCTCCTCTTCCTCCTCCTCATCCTCTTCTTCCTCCTCCTCCTCATCTTCTTCTTCTGCCTCAGCCTTCTCCAGTTTACAGGACTCCTCGCAGGTGGCATCATCCCGGTGCTCTGGACACAACTCGCTGCTGCGCTCACTGGTGACCTCGATGACCTCCTCCGCATCCTCTGTCTGGATGATGATCTCCTTGTCGCACTCCTCTTCCACCAGCTCCTCTCCCGCATCCTCATGGACCAAATGCACAACGTCAGATGGTGGCTTGGAGACCTGCAGCTCTGCTTCGGGCAGCTGCCCCTCGATGGCGAGGGTTTCCTCTGCTATTTGTCCCAGGTTTAGGAGGGAGTTGGCAATTATTTCTTGGTAGCTGCTGTAGTTGGCCTTGCTGGGCCCAGATGTACTTGATGCTGTGTTTTGTCCATAATGGGTTGATTTTGCTGGGCTTCTCTCTGAGGAGGGGGGAAAGAAGGAATAGAAAGAAAAAGGGAGAAAGAAGGAAAAGACAAAAAAGGAAAAAAAAAAGGAGGAAAAGAAGAAAGGGGGAAAAGAAGGAAGGGAAGGAAAAAGAGGAGAAAAGAGGAAAGAGGAGAAGGGAGGAAAGAGGGAATGAGGAAAGGGGGAAAGAGAAAAGGGGGGCAAAAAAAAAGGGAGAAAAAAAGAAAGGGGAAAAAGAAAGGGAGGAAAAAAAGAAAGGGGAAAAAGAAAGGAGGAAAAGAAAGTAATTATGTAAACCCATAAACATTTCTTTTTTGTATTTAAACTTATCTGAAACCAGAGCCTGGCTGTTCTACCCCTGGCATGGCCTAATTTATTGCATTTGAGGATGGTAGGTAGAAAGGGAATTTCCACATGGAAGGGAAATCATGGGGGTTAAGATTTGCCATGTTCCCAGCTCTTCCTACCCTCTCACACATACCCTGTCCCATCAGCAGCCATCTCACCCCCCTGCTCCCAGTGCTCCCCAGACCAGGGCTCCAAAGCGGTGAGCAAGACACTGTCAGGACCCTGGCTGAAGACTCATCTCCTTTGCTGGTCACTCCTCCTCTTGGATAGCAGCTGGATCTGGCCAGGGGCATGACTCCTGCTGAGCCCCTCTCAGCACCAGTGTGGGACCCTGGCTGCCTTCCCCGCTACCACCTGAGCCACACAGCAAGTTCCTCTCTGCTTTCCATGTGTCTTTCCCCAGGGAGCATCCCTGGTGGAAAAGCTCTCACTTTTATGACGCTGGAGACAATCACTGTGTGTCCCCTCTCAGCTTGAGCAGAGCTTTGCTGTGTTGCTTCCACCCAGTGCAATAATTGAAGGACCCATCCTGTACATAATTCAGAGGAGCTATAACTCCTGGTTGTTAACACTCCCTGCCCTTTCTTCATCTGCAGAACACAGCTCTGCAATCAATAATGATAAAGCACCTTCTGCCTGCTCGGGGCTGCGGGTCTCCTCCTGCTCCATCGTCTCCGCCTCATCCTCCTCCAGCATCCCCTCCGACTCATCGGAGCCAGACTCCTCCTTCGCCTCGGCCTCCTCGCTGCCGTCGCTGTCGACGTTGTAGCCTTCATCCAAGGCCAGTTTGAGAGGGTGGGATTTTCTCTTCGACACCAGATGTTCGGCCTCTGCATCCTGAAGTTTCCTCTTCTTTGCGAGAGGGCAGCTTTGTAAACTGCAGATGGGGTCAAGGAGCAGAGAGAAGGCATTGCCAAGTGAGAAAGGCCTGGCTGCCTCATCCCAACTGGTTAGGCAAAGGCAAGTGGGACAAATATACAAATACTACCAAAAAGACCATCCAGCAGCCCAGATTTTTTAGCTGTTTTAACCCTGCATGGCCAGATCTGCTCTCAGATCATGACTTCGTGCAACTACATCAACTTTTTTCAGAAATGAGAGCACGGATGCTGGGGTGCAGCTTCCTTGCAGTTGCTGTCCAAGGAGCAGCAGGATCAGCAGCTCCCAGCACCACTGTTGGTGATAGGCATCAGGACCATGAAACCAGGCAGGGGATGCAGAACTGGACCCTGGGGCTCATCCACCAACTGCTCCAATTTCACCATTATAGGGTGATGATAACCATCAGTTAAGGCTGGCATGGCCTCAAAGGCAGACTGTGTTCTTTTTTCCCCTCCCCATCCATAGAGACACCGAGCAGACCAAAATCTCTGCCTGTCAGCAGCTCCCACCAACCCCTGGCACCTGAGTCAGGTACTTCTGCCATGTTTTGGGGTCTGTAGGAAGGTTGCTGTCAGCCTGGAGAGGCAGACCTCCCCAGGATCCCTTGGGGACTGATGGAGAGACAGAAACCAGCTCTCTAGTGGGCAGATTTGGGACAGAGGGGTTGGGTTGCTGGTCTAAATCAGATTTTCTCCAGTGAACCTCTGTGTCTGGGTTTCTTGCTCACAGTTTTCCACTCCACTACCTCCAATGCAGCCTCACCTTCTGTGTCTCGCGTACTTCCCACGGATGTGTCCTGAGCCGTTACAGCCTGGGGTTGGACAGCTTGAGAGGGAAAAAAGCAAAACATCAAGAACAGCAATAGGACTTTGGGAATTACTGTTTAATTAGAAGTGTATAAACTATGGTCAGTTAAACAGGTCCTGTGCCCAAGGAACAAAATAACTGGAAACGGGAAGATAATTTCCCTCAAATGGTTCAGTTTGTCCCTTTGAATTCCAAGGGAGGAGGGCAGGAGAGCAGCCCTGCAGTTTGCTAAAAATTAATGAAATTACTCACCCCATTTAATTAGATGAACGGGTTCACTATAGTTTTATGAGTATGTTTAATTAAAGATTTGCGTGTGTAAGAGCAAGCTTTTAAAGGCAGACAGCTACTGCGCTCTGCCTCCCCGCTGCCACTCCAGTTTTGTTTTTCTCAGGAGGAAAACACAGGTTTTTTCCTTATTTGGTGGCTTATCAAGAAACTGGAGTTCCTTACAGCAAGAAATGGGTGGTTTTCAGAAAAGTAGGTCAAGGAGGTTTTTGGCAGAGCAATATGGGTGAAGATCACCAGGACTAAAATCCTCAAAAGCACCTCAGAGCCCCACTTTTGGAGGGATGAATGGGATTTAGGTGACCAGATCTCCCAAATCCCTGCATTTTTTTCCCTGCTGCTCTGCAGAAGAGGGTGAGTTAAAGACTTGCAGGGAGCTCTGAGCCACACTCTCAGCCACCGCTGCCTTCGCTTGAGCATCCCTCTGCACGGGACCACACGCCTTCCCTGCAGGGGTAATTAGTCCCAGCTTCAGGAGCTGTAAGGGCTCCAGATAAGAAGCATTAAAGCAAACATTTTCTGGCAAAACCAGATTATGGCATTGATTATAGGATGCCCAAGTGACTTGCCTGATGTCTGAGGAATTCTGGAGTCGTGTAGGATTAATAACCTCATTTAGCACTGTATCACCCTCAGCCCAGGAAGTTGGAAGCACTAATGAAATCTCTCGATGACAGTGCAAAGGGAGAAGGCATCACCAGCCCAGAGGGGATCTGGCCAGCCTGTTATTCTTAGAGTAAAAATCACGGGACAACATTAAATAGTATCAAGTGCCAAGTCAGGCTTTAGGGACTCAGAATTTCTGCTCTCAGCAGAGAGCTCAGCCCTTGCAAAAAGCTGAGGACACGGAAGGTCTGACTGCACTAATGGGTGTAGCAGCTCTGGGGGCACTGGTGGGTTATTAATGGTTCAACTCCCCACAATACAAGTCAGATTGCTGTGTTCAAAGAATATAATTCAACCCAAAAGCAGGACAGAAAAGGGCTGCTGAACTGTCAGGAGAGTAGGAATCCTTCCTCCAGGGAGACCAGCTTGATTTAGATTAGCAAAGCTGATGCTGAGAGGGCAAATGGTGGCAGCACATCCACTAAAGGGACACAGCTCTCTGGGTGGGTGGAAGCTGCACCTCCTGGCTCCTCCAAGACAAGTCCCCCTCCCTGCTGTCCCCTTTGCTTGTGGCCTGGTTTGAAGCATCCTCCGATGCCATCACTTGGGGGATGGGTCCCAGCTCTTTTGACATCCACACACAGCCCAAGCCCCACCACACCCAGGGTCTGGCCTGGCAGTGAGGTGTCCCTTTCTCCAGCAGAACATTCGAGGTCAGACAGAAAAAGATCTTATCCCACTAACATGCGCAACTGGAAGAGGGAGCTCCCCCCTTTGCTGCTCATGATCTAAAAGTCTATTTAATTTTAATTGCCCTCAGTCCTGACTGAGGCTGCTGTGTCCCGAGCAGCCCCAGACACGCTTCCAGTGACTGCACACCAAGAGACAGAGCAGTGTTTATGTCACCAGTGACTTGCCTGAAAAAGGCTTATTCGGTGGGAAACAAGAGCAGCTCTGATGAAGATGTTACAGGCTTTTATAAGTTTTCCTGTATCAATTAAAGCTAATTATCCCCCACCCCATTTTTGATGTGGTGAAATGAAGCCTGCAATAAAAAGTACGTAGGAAAGAGCCAAGTGGTTGAGCATCGAGGTTTGCCAAGGCAGGTGCCGATTTGGGATGTTTCTGGCTTCAATGTGTTAATTTAATGCCTTTAAAAAGCACCAGCACAGAGGTGATGCTCGACATGCTCTGGGCCAGGTTTCCCCTCCCCTCTCTCCTTTGGGGAGGTTTCGTGTATTTTGGCAGGAGTCCCAAAAGGGGAAAGGAGCTTCGAGGTCTATTAGAGCTGCTCTCCATCTCTCGAAAGCCACCACACCGACCAGCTCTCCCCCTCTCTCCAGCCTTCATCTGCTTGACAAAAGGGCTTCTTATTGTTATGCAGACGATGCCCTGCTTCCAATTAGTCGATTAATCGTCCAGTTATTCAGGCAATTAGGTGACAGCTGCAGAGATGGCTTTGTGGAGCACTCTGTCCTGCCCCTTAGATATGTCACCTGCTCCAATTACCACCTCCACTCAAGTGTTCAGCAATAAAAGTTGGAGAAGGGGCATGCCCACCTCTCGCTCCTCCCGGCTCTCCAGAGTAATAGGAGAGTGGAGGAGCAGAAATGCTCTGAAATTGGGTTGGTTAAGGTCCAATTACTCTTTGACACACACGGCTTTCTAAGGAAGGCTGCTAGGAGAGGCAGCCCCTGCTATTAGTGCCTGTCCAGGTTAAAGACTCCTACCTCTTGCAAAAGCCCTTGTGAAAGGTTTAATGGGAGCTTAGAGGTGGGGGAGGCTGTTATATCTATTAAGAAGCTCTGTGGGGCTGCAGAGGCTCCACTCCTGCTCTTTTGGCTGCTGCTGTTGGCAAGCCAGCACTGCTAAATTAGTGACAACAGGACCTCAGTGGCTGAACAGAGGACGTGGGGCCAAAGGAGGAGCATCTGGCACGAGAGGTGATGTGACACTATATTGTTTGGGGGGAATAAGAGGTTGTAAAATATGTGGAAAAGAAACTGTGGTTAGTTGGTTAGTAGGATGTTGTCCCTAATGATCCTGGAATAAAAAACATGGGCATTAGATTTTGCTGGGGTTTAGATGTGGGATTGGACAGAGGGTTGCTTCAGTCTAATGTGACCCTTTCCAGAGCTCCTGTTTTCATCCCTTTAAGTCTTGTGGTTCCTGACATGTTTTATCAAGTGGTACTCATAAGACTTGGACACAATAAGGTGCCCGCCTATATAAGCCCCCCAGCAAGACCTCCACCCCACTAGTCCCACAGGTTTGCTCCCCACACACAAATTCCCAAGCTGAGGGGCTTATCCCAAGCCAGTCCCACCATGTGCCCCTAGGAGGAGCAGGGTCCTTACCTCACCTCCTGGCCGATGAGCTCCGTGGGCACTGGGCGAAGGGGCAGATGCAGCAATGGAAACAAACACAGGTCAAACACACAATAGGGGTGCCTGGCCCCACCCCCGAGACATCCCCCTTCTCCGGGGGAAACTCTTCTGCCTGCAGCTGCGTTTCTATTGCCTCCTGGGGCATCCCATTTAGGACAGAAAGGGAAAATCTATCCTGCTGTCGTTTTACTGCATGCCAGCCTGCAGTAAATCATAATCCTGCCCTGTAAATCCTCATATCTGTGCTTATTTTCAAGCACGTGAGTGCACGTTTGCAGCTTCAGGGACCACCTCTCTTCTCTGAATACAGATAACTTTGAAGTCATGACTTTGGAGCTATACTGACATGCATGTAACTCAAGTTTAAGTAAAGACCAAGTTTTCTCATGCCGCCTTCTCTGCATTTGCCCTTAAAATCTGCTCATCAATTTCTTTTTCCACAGTTCACAACTGTTTTGCTGCAATGGGCATATTTACCTCTAAACCACCATTTTTCTCTTCCCCTTGTCACACTGGACTGAGCCCCTACCAATGCTCAGACATATAGTAGGAGATGTGTTAATTGAGGTTTAGGGTAAACAGTTTGTAGGGGTTTCAGGGATTATTCCCCATTTGTGAATAAGAGGACTTCTCACTGCTCACAGTAACTATGTGCAATAACTTCACATCATCATAGTTGAAATCTTACATCCAGCCAGGAATCCAAATAATCAGGAGGAAAAAAATCCCTCAACATAAGTTTAAATTCACCCAGGCTAAAAACTATAACACGTTTGCTCAATTTGTTTGAGCTAATTGGGTTTCCTGGGATCCAGCTCCCAGTGGGATGACTCACAAGCTTCAACAAACTGGAGGCAGTGGCAAGTCCCAGGGTGTACATAATAAATTACCTTTTCACATGGAGAAACCCAGATTCAAGTGTGGGGAAGGCAGGGTGTGAGAAAATAAATAGAATTAGGGGGCTCTCATTTGCAACCTGAGTGATCACCTTTGTGTATGTGCAACAAAGCAATGAAATCCAAATATCCAAGCTTGGTTCAACACAACTGGCAGCATCTGGGTTTGTTTTTTTTTTCAAAATATGCAGATGCTGTGAAAAGCAAGGTGAGGACAAAGGAAGGTGGTTCAGCCCCTCTGTAGGATGAAGCTGCAGTCCCTGCAGCCATCACACCTTTCCAGCCTTGTTCATTCCTCACTTCCAGCCAGCTTTGTCATTTGTCAAATCCACAACCATAAAAAGGAACCAAAATAGATAGGCTGGTCTGTAACCATCACACACGGATGTGGGACCACCTGAGGTGACACCCCGGGCTCTGCATCAGAGCCCCTCACCTTCTCCCGAAGAGAAAGCGCGCAGAGACCTGCACTTATTTTCCTTTTCCTTTTTTTTTTTTTTTTTTTTAAATCAGAAAATAAACAGCAATCAAGCTTTGCATTAACCAGTCGTTTGTCCCCCCATCCCTGCCGGGGGACAGCCCGTTTGCTTCTCCAACGTGAGCTACTTCTGCCAGGCTCTCTCAGATGTGCGACTTCAAAGCCGCTGGCAGAGTGAGCATGATGAAAGCCCCGGGAGCTGATCTGAAGCTCCAGTGATTGCCATCCCCTACAGCAAAGCATGCACGGGGGCTTTTTTTTTTTTTTTAATTTGCTTGTTATTTTCCTTCTTCTGGGTGTAGAGGATGAGGGTTAAATATCATAAGGACCTGTATAGGTTTGTGGATGGGAGTCTTGCAGGATTTTTAGAAAAATTTCGGTGGGGTTGGGGAGCAGGGGGCAGTGAGAGTAACTTAAAGAGTCAAGCCTGGACCTGAAAAATCAAAGCCTACTTGGAACAAGCAAAGTGCAGGGAGCTCAGGACTGTACAGCCTGGTGCTGTGGGATAAACAGCTGCTCACCTCTGACAGACTTGGATCGCGTGCGTGCTCTCTTATCGTCATTTTCTAAACTCATCTGCAACGGAAAGAAAAAAATCATTGCTGAAAGATAACAAGAAAATTATTATTAAAGGACAATCTTGCATGTGGCTATTGCTTCATGTAAATACCTCGGCAGCAGGGAAAGCTTTCCCATGTTTTTGAGGTGGAGGTTTCTTGCTTTGATGCAATTATTCAACACACCGTGCCCAAACTTAGCAAGTTTAAATTAATTTCCACATCCCAGGACACAGGAAGGACCCTCTGCTTGTTAAGTACCACAGAGGGACAGACACCCAGATGTGATGCTCAGTGATGGAGAACAGCTGTGCCTGAGATTGCACTTGTTAAGGGCAGAACTGGTTTCTCTGGGTTTACATCACAGAAGTGCTCTGAGCACCCCAGTGGAATGCCAGCATGTATTCAGAAATCTCTGAATTTGTGTCCAAAATGGTCTCCTGCCTGAGAAGGGCAACTTTTCACAAGTACCCTAAAAAGCAACCTCTCCTCTCTTCTAAATTTGCCACAAAGAGGGCTGCGTCTAAATAACACCCCCAACGTGGACATCAAACAGGAGGGTCTGCAGGGAACATGAGCATGAATAAGTAACATTGGGGACTTCAAAGTGCTTGATATTAATTAAACATCACCACATACCACAAGGTAGCAGAAGGCTGAAGTGCAGCCACCTCTGGGGTGCAGCACCCAAGCCCTGGTGTCAGGGAGGCTTTGAAATCAGGCAGTGCCTGGAGGTGGGAGCAGGAAAGCAGGGACCTCCAAGGCATGGCAGAAAGACACAGCTGGAATAATATAAATGGGATTTCATTAAAGTTGTCAACAGAGGTGCTGAAGTGGTCAAAGAGCTGTTTTACATCTTGCCCTCAACACAGATGCTCTCTCTGCAGGCAGGAATATTTGGCAGCAAATGCCAAGGGGAAACAGCAGGACTGGGATGTGAGCAGGGACAGGGGTCATAGCCTGGTAGGCTGGGGACAAGACAGTTTGGGTTTTACTGCAGTGTTACCACGTGGAACATTTCCTCCTGAGACAACAAGAAGGAAAGAGAAAAGTGGGGGAAAGGACCATTTACAAGTGGGATTGACATAATAAAAACAAATTCACTTTAGAACATCCTCTACAAGGCCCAGTTAGAGAAGGATCCAACCAGCTCCTGGGCCATCCCCAAATGAGGAGGTTCCAGGCTAACCCTCCAACACCCCTGAGAGAGCAGGGACACCAGCAGCTGCTCCCCTTGGTCAAGGGGCAGGAAGGGACATACATGCAGAGCACATGCTGCTCTGCTGGCAGAAGGGATGATGCAGGTGTGATATGTGCCACTGCATCCCCACATGCATCTTAAAATCCTTTCTTGATGGATGGGCCAGGGGTCCTCACCCTCAAAGGATGCACCGCTTGGTGCTTTCCCTGAGATTTGGAGGCAGAAAGGAGGAAGGGAGGGAGGCTGTTGGGCAGGCAGAGAGAGGAAACCAAGGTCCCCAGCCTGTGGGGCACCACAGCTAAAACCACCTCAGAGAGGAGGGATGAAATTTCTCCGAGTGCCTCTCTCCTTTCCATTGCCACCCTCCAGAAATTCACTGTTAGCATGCGATGATTTATGTGATTTGTTAGATGGGGAGGTTGGAGAGGAAAGGAAAAAAAATAAAAGAGTGGTGGTGGGGAATCAAAACCTGGAGCAATTTCTGCATCCTGTCAGCATTCAGCTCATGGCACCGCGGCGTTGTGCTCCACGTTTATTACAATCTTCCCAATAACACAGCAGACAATTACTATAATTTGTATTTTTAAAGCCCTGGTTCCCTGCAGACCAATGGCTCACGTTTAAAGTGTGGAGAGGAGCAGGTGTCACAGGGACTTCATTACATTTATGAGCCTTTCAACGTCGGCGTGTGCTGAGCTCGCTCCCTAATGCCGCCGCACGCCGACAATACAACTAATACCTTGGATTGCTGGGAGCCTCCAACCAAAAGGAATTTCAGAGAGGGCTTTTTCTTTCTTCTTTTTCTTTCTCTTTTTTTTTTTTTTTTTTTTTTTTTTTTGACTGATCCCCAGGGAATTGGCACATGTTGGGCTGGTGCCTTGGCAATGTGGGTTTCCTGCAGATCAGTTATTCGAAGTGGCAGAGGAGGTCGGGCTCTGGGAAGGGCAATGGGCATCACCTGCAAGGGGCCAGCCCTGGCCAAAGAAAGAGGTCACAGGGCCAGCATGGAAAACCAAAGCAAATTTTCAATTTTCTTAACCCTGTCCTTCAAGGACAGGCAGGGGGGAAGGGCTCAAGCTGCTTGTCTATAAATGTGGGAGATCTATAAATAAGGGAAATCCAATTTCATGTAACATTTGTCTTCAGGAAATTAGGTATCACTTCCGAGGTAACATCCAGGCTCCTCACTACACCACAGCACCTCAAAGTAATTCCTGACATTGCCTACCACACCTTTTTCAAGCCAGGATCAAACACCCTGGGAAGACAGGAACACACTTTGTTACCACATGGGCAGTGGGACAGGAGCCACCTAGGACAGGAACAGAGCCAACCTTGCTCAGGACCAAAGAATGCAAAATCCAAAAAGGCTGCCTTGCCTGACCTACTGTACAAAAAAAAAACCCCAAACTCAAACTCCTAAATTATTGAGGGTTTTCCCCACAGGAAAGACCCCTTTACTTTTTTAGAGAACTTGTCACAGCCTCACCGTTGTGTATTTATTCCACTTGCATCACAGGCAGGATGGGGTAAGCTCTGCACTCCTAGGCAGTTTTCTACCATCAGGTTTCTTTTCTCAGCTTAAATCAACAGCAACAGCATCCTAAAAAATCCCCACTACCCACTAAAGTGCCAAAACACCAGGAATAAGATCCATTTCGGAGCTCAGCCCCTGCTCCTTCCAGGCAGCTTAAATAACTGGCACAGCCATGGCTGCACTTCAGGAGCCTCCGTGGTATCGAGCTCGGATGCAGGAAGGTTACATGAAACCACTGTCCTTTATTGTTGCCTTCTCAACCAGAAGCCCTCTAGACAGACCGTTTTAATGCAGAATTCCAGGTTACACAGCGCATATTTGCAGTCCCGGAGACCGACAGGGTATTTTCATTAGGTCTCTCTCTTGTTCACATAACAGCCAGTCTGAGAAGCTGTCTGGATCTCACTCTTATTATTTTAACTCTGAATGAAAGCAAAGCAATCCAAGGGGAAACCCACAAATAAATTATTGCTACCAAATGCCAGCCACAGGCATGTTAGTCCAGCTAGAAAACGCAGAGGTTTATTCTGCTCCCCCTCACTTACCAATAGGTTATGTCTAAGATTGAATCAAAATAAGCATCTAGCAAGTTTCCTAGCCCAGTGCTGCAGGAAAGGACCCTGCACTGGGTCTCAGGGTACTTGCTTCAGGATTCAACTCAATGCTCTGCCATTGACAATCAGAGTAACCTTGGGAACATCATTTCATCCCTGAGTGCCCCTTTTCCCCCCCTTTTCTCTCTAAAGGGAAGAAATACCCCCTGCACCATGGCACCATGTGTTTGCCCCACACTAAGGAGCTCCCTGACACAACCAGAATACAAGTTATAATGATGACGTGTCAATACTGCAAATATAAGTCAATGAGGTTCAAACAGATAAACTTGAGAAAGAGTTTAACCCGCTGTTACAATGTGAATTTTAACAGCCTGATTCTACAGTCAAGGTCTTGTTCTGCTGCCAAGACAGCAATACAGCACAGATCCAAAGTTTCCTTTTATGGAGTACCTACAGGGTTGATATTTTCTTCTTCCTTCTTATCTTAATACACATTTCCTTTCCAATGGGAGGCTAAGGGACATAACAGAACATAAACCCACTGGGAGCCCACCATGTGCTGATGCCCAGGTGTGCCTGGGCTTCGGCAGCTCTATGCAAATCTGTGCCATTAAGGGCCCTGCTGAAATTCCCCCGGGTCAGCAGTAATACTTTATATGTATTCAAGAGCACCACGGAGCTCAGAGAAAATAAACATGCTGAAAAAGCCTTCAGCAGGACAAAGGGAGGTGAGGATTCAGCAGGACTATTTATTTTACACCGAAAGCAGCAGAGCTTCCATCAGTGCTTATTTGTGGACATAGCAAAATGCCAATTGCAAGAAGCTGCATCTGAGCTTTAGAGGGACAGACGGACACACAGAGCCTCTATTTTTAGTTTTAAAAACCCCTAAACTTACATTTGCCTAGCAGCAGAAGGAAAATGCCAGAAGAAATGACATTTTTCCTACATAATTGTTGAAAAGTAGTTTTCTGCTTGGTCCTCCCCCTCTTCCAGATCCAAGGAGTCCCTCAATTAACTCCTCAAGGGAAAAGGCAGTAAAACTGCCCTTCAGCTCCCACCAACTGGTGAGGACAGGTTTGAATGGCCTGTTCTGATTTCTTCTTTTTTTTTGAGGGGGGGGGAGTATTTCCCCCACCCTACCAGGAATTCCTCCTCCTTGGCTGTTGCAGGCTGAACATGGGCAGAGAGACCTTGATCTGGGCCTCCAAATTTCTCCCCCTTGCTCTCTGCAAAGTGCCATGGCATCTTTGGTCACTGTAGAAAATGAAGAGGATTTCATCCTGCTGGAGCTTCTCTAGCTGTGAGTTTTTTAGTAAGTAAGGGATGATGGAGGAAGAAATACCCTTGATCAACAGGGTGCCTCTACTTTTACAGAAAGGCTCAGTAGTAGCTCCCAGCTGCTATTTTAGAACCACACTCAAAGATTAGGAGGTGGTTTTTTTTTTCCTCTTCTTCCTTTAGGGTCTTCCTTGCTGTTTGATTTAAATCCTCCTGACGTTCCACCTATTGTGAGTCCTGTCCTCGGCTGAATGAACTCCCGCCTGCCTTTTGCTCTGACTGCTTCCAGGAAAGGACACCCTGCGCGGTGTTCCCGGGCTTGGAGTCGGGGTAGGGGGGGGATGTGTGTGATTTTTCCTTGATATGTTTAGACGCAAACCCACAGCTTGTACCCACCTCAAATCCAACACTACAGCTGTGTCACAAACATCCTTCCTAAAGCCGTGCTGTCAGCTTGCATTTGCAGGAAGGGTCCAACCCCCACGGAAAGCACCCGGTGCTGCGAGTGAAACGCCTCCCGAGCGCCGACACTCTGTGGCGATGGCAGCAGCATCCTCCACACAGCAGCATCCTCCACACGAGGGAAGCGGAGCAGAAAAGCTGCTCCTGAGCATCACGTCTGACACAGCCGCAGCTGCACCGTGCGCGTCCGGGCCGGGTGATTTCATACGCTGTAGTTTGAGTTGACATACACTTTCCTCTTGACTGTCTCAGAGGGCTACAACACGCAATCCCGACGCCAGGGAGGCCTGAGCGGCTCCGTACGTGCCGATGGCTCTCACGCCACAAGAGGAGGGGTAGGGAAGCGGGGTGGGGGAAATAAATCGTAGTTCTTCAACCTCGTTGTTTTCCAGCTCGATAATAAGCTGCCTTTTCCATAAGATTATCCTCGACTGGCACCATGTGAAGGGGTTGTTGAAGTGAGCTACGTGCGTGTCTCCAAAGAGGATGAAATAGCTGGCACTTGTGGTAGGGATGGGCTCTGGTGACCCCACCACCATCCCTGTTTGTCCTGACAGCAGTCAACCTTCACCAACAAGCTGCCTGCTTTTCAGCTGCACCCCAGCTAGGTCCCCATGGCACAGGAAAATAAAGATTTGGGACACAAAGATTCATTTTGCCATCAGACACTGTGGTCCGGGAGCGTCCGTGCGGACGGGCTCAGCTGGCTCCGTGCAGAGATCAGCTCTCGCCAGCACTGCAGAGATCTCATTTCAAACCTGTCATGGGAAATTGTATCCCATCCCTGGACTTCTTTAGAGGCAAAAATAAATAAGTAAACGTGCCCCACATCCCATTGTCCTTCACCGCTGCGCATCCTGTGGATTACGAGCTGTGACTGGCATGAAAAACTACATTTAAATACAATATGTATTTATGAGCACACTTGTAAGTGCAAGTGTGTGCACACAGTGCAGATCCAAAGGTTAGAGAGGGATCAAGACCTCTCCCCCTGCGAGGTAAGAGGGCTGCACACACGCACACAATATCCAGGCTCCCTCCAGGCTCCCTCTCCACATCTCCTCCTCTCACCCCCGAATCAGTCACTCAGTTAAAACGCACATAAGCAGAGCTGGGGATTGCAAGAAATGGTTAATATTCACGATGTGCTTGTCAGAGGCAGAGCACTAGATGAGCACCAGGTACTGGGAATATTACCTTTTGTAATCATTGCTTTATTAACATACGACAATCTTATTAAATCTAATCTAAGTGCTTATTTGGCAGGTTCAATAGAAAAGCCTTAATTGAGCTCATTTTAAATGTAGCAACAACTGCTTACTCTGCTCTCTAAGAAGGTGTGAGCTTTCCTGGCGACACCTGTGTGCAGCTGACAGCTTGTTAGTGAAGAAGGATGGCTTTTAAGGGCGGATTTTTGCTGGCTTGGGGTTTTACCAGGGTTTGGTTTATTTGGGGATACAGGAAGGGTCAGTAACATCAGTCACCCAGGGAGGCTTCCTCACCACCCAGGTGGGTCCACCCACACACTGGAGATGATGCCTCACTACTGAGAGGTCAAAATAGGACAGGAAGCACCACTTGTGTAGTGAACAGCCCAGTTCTCTGCTTAATTAAAGCTTCCTAATCTGCTGGCAGAGAATCTGCCAGGAGGTTTGACAGCTTTGGCTGTATCTCTTTCATCAGCCACAGCTGCAGCAGTAAATGAGTGGCTCTGTTGAGCCCAGGGAGCTGTCCGGGGTCCCGACAGGAATGAATGCCTCGCTTGTCCCCTCCAAAGGCACCACAGCTTCACCTGGTGCTCGAGGGGCTCCTTCCGACCAGCCGGCGCCTTGGAGAAAGGGCCTATTTTAACAGTCCTGGGAGTGACCTAAATACCCAGATCTGAGCCACCCTTGAAGGATGGCACCGGAGAGGAAGGCAAGGATTTAACTATCTGGACTCAAAGCCAAATCTTGACAGCTGGAAGCCCTCCCTGCCCGAATTCACCATACAGGAGGTTTGGCTGTAGTGAGGAGACAGAGACTTCCAAGTCCTGTCTGTCACTTTGGGTACCGGAAAGGCTCCATCCCCCCAGGACCAGCTGGTCCATAGGGGCTGGAGCAGCACGTGGCCCTCATCCCATGGCCAACACATGAGGTGGTGTGTGGGGGGGTGTCACTGTGCTAAAAAAGTAAAAGCTTGTGTGCTCACCTTGATGTGTGTGCCGTGCAGGCTGGCGGCTCCCTCGCAGCTGCTGATCTTCTCTCCGCAGGTCCACCTCTGATTCAGCAGCTCACCCCGAAACTCATTTTCTGGGGAGGGAAAGAGGAACACGGGGTCAGGACCCAGAGTCAGCCTGGCACCTCATCAGCAGCATCAGCCAGAGGTGAAAATGCAATATTTATTCCCTGCCATACAAATCTTCAGGGTCTCCAGGCCCTGAGCAGGAGCCCAGGATGCCACACCAAGGCCAAGACCCCCAGCCATGAAGAATTTGCATCCTCAGCCTACCCCAAACCTTGCAACACTGCTCAGCTCGGTTGGAAAACACACTATTAACAGTGAGTAATCACTGGGGAGCTGGACACCTCATGGTGCCCGTGGCAGCTGGCAGAGGGCTTCTCCCTTTACACTCTCTTCTCTTTCCAGAGGTGAAGCTAATTTTTAATATTTCACAAAAGTTTGCACATCTAGAACAGTGAATTGGCATCACTGACTGCAGAGAGGGGTCCTCATATAGGTTTCCATGGCCACTTTCTGGCATCAGCACCCTGAGAGTGGGTAATTTCTCACCCTGAAGTTTATTTTTGGGGTGATCTCAAAGACAGGAGAAGTAGGGAGAAGGTTCAGACCGGCTAAAGGAAACCTGTGGGAGCTGTGTTGCCAGCAATAGATAACTTGTTGTTTAGGACACCAGGCAAGCAACTTTGGAACTGCTCTGCCACAAAACAGCTTTTAGGAGAACATGCAGAAAATCACCAGGGAATTGACTCCTCCTTGCCTGTGTCTGTTCTCCCTCTAGAACAGACTACAAAACAACCAGTAATTCCCACAGTGCTCTTGCAAGAACAAGTACATGGAAAGACTGGGATAATTTGATCCTGTGATGATGTACATCCAAGATAGTGCCTAAGATAGGTGACTGTGAAAGTCATCTTTATGTGTTTGTCCTTAAACAGCTGCTCTGAAGCCAGGAGTGCAGCGAGGGGAACTTTTCTAGGTTTCACAGGAGACTCCAAACTCTGTTTGAAACGCTGTGTTCTAGCCTAGACCCAAGACAAGGCACAGGGCTTGGAGGCAGAATCCAAGAGTTGCTGAAACATTATTCTGCTTTGGAGAAGCTCCGAGGAAAGGGAGCAGGGAAGCACAGATGGCCAGGCAGATGATTAAAACCAAGCAAAATGAGAAAAAAAAAGCTTGAAAGGGACAGAAGAAAGGAGAACAGAGGGGAAAAAATATCAAATAAGAAGAAATAAAGATGTTCCAACAGCACATTCATAGGCCATTACAGCCTGTCTGCTCATCTGAAGCATTTCACTGAGCATCCTTCTCCTAAACATGTTTTAAAGCAGGAGTATCCTCTATGGGATGGAGCAGAGAGTGGGTTAAACTGTAGAAATAATGGATCCAGAATGCCAGATCAAAGCTCTACTTGGGTTTAAGATTTTTGAAAGGTTGAGAGGTCATGAGATACAACCCCGAGGAGGAAAATTTAGCAACATACATGCAGATTCATCCTTTTTGAGCCTGTTTTCTCATGTGTGCCTAAGTCATAGGCCAAGGGTGAATTCTGGAAGCTGCCATGGATAAATCTGGCTCAAAGTGCCAGCTTGTCCTCGCCACAGGCCCCATCTCAACCTCCCAAATTTTCATCCCTTTAAGCAAGAAGGGAAGGCACTGAGTGTTGGGATGAGGAGCCTTGGCTAGGCTGAAGGTGTGTTGGCCACACCAGCTCAGAGCCTTCCTGCCTGCTCCAGTCCCTCTGCCCAGCCCACTTTGGGTGGCCAAAGCAGTTCCATCAACACTGGAATCAGATTTCCTGTACTTTGTGCTGCTTAAATGTGTCTGGTCTCCGGAGAGGATCAGCTTGCACTGCTGGCTCTGCCTTTTCCACCTCCCTCCAGATCCTGGGTTCAGCAGAAACAAAGCTCACTAGTTATGTGAAGGACATGTGTGTTAACCCCTACCTGTGCCACCCAAGGGAAAGTGTGAGATATTGCCTGAAATATGAGTTTTAGCCCATTGAAAGCAGATCCCGGAGTTAATGGTTGATTCTGGGGTCCCCTTCTGGCACTGAACTGGGACAGCTGAAGCACACAGCTGGGAGCACTTGCATCCACTCCCCCTTGAAAAATAATCTAGATGCTCAGCTGGCCTGATGGATCACTGCCTGGTGTTCACATCCCAAAGGAAACCGCCAGCTTTCCCCCCTCCTCAGGACCCTCCACACAGTCAGGACTGGAGCACACACTGGGGCCTCCAGTGGACAGGCTGCTTTTCCCCAGGAACATTTAGGACAATCCACAACCATCCTCTTCCTAATGATGTTCTTTCCCAAACCTGTCAGCTGTGAATCAAAATATTGCAAGCTGTGTACAGTCCTGGCACAGAAGAACAGGCTCTGTGAAACACTTGGGTCACTCTCATCAACACCAAACAAGGTGATGTGGAAACTTGGGAGGGAGACCACAGCAATTCTGAGTGTTAATCAGACCTGTGTGCTTTACTTTCCATTTACAGAGAAAGAAGAAAGCACAGATTTCCCGGAAAAAAATGAAACCCTCTAAAGAATGGCAGAAAATTCCCCCAAAAATAAACACAGCAAACCTCATAGGAAGCTTTGGAAGGAGAGTGAATAAAAAACGAGGCAGGATGCTGCAGGAGGGGGCTGCCTGGGTGGTAGCCAGCTCCCACACATGTCCTTACAGCGCCAGGGGAGCCACATTTGCAGCACCACCCTGTCTCCAAATCTCAGCAGAGGTTGCACCTGACGTAGCAAAGCACTGGGGTAAGAGGAAACTTCCACAGAGAAAAGGTGGGGGGTGAAGGCCTCCTTTTCTCATAAGATGCACCACTGCATATTTAAACTGAAAGACTAGAAGAAAAACATATCAATCTTCATTTGCTCCCCCAAGTGTGACAAAGGCAAAAGGAAGGGAGAAAGATTTTTCTTCATCTTTGCTCAGGAACACTTTTTATGGGAAAGGTGAATCCTGTGTTAACAAGGCAGCAGCGTGCTGAGAACAAGCTGGGTCCTTCAGTGTCCTGCCAGACAACATGGGCTCGCTTCTCAGAGCAGATATAGCAGCAGTGCCAGGGATCAGAGAGAGCATTTTGGTCCCCTTCTTTAGTGTGAATTAAAATAAATTTAAAAAAAAAAATCAAAACCAAATTCTACAACTTCTCTAGGCTGGAGAAGTTGCCCCTGGACCTCTGCACTCCTCTGCACTGCTGGATGCCCAGAACCCCTGCATCTTACAGAAAAGAGGGAGAGCAACTTTTTGCACAGGTAAACAGTGATAGGACAAGGGGAAACAGTTTTAAACTAAAAGAGGAGAGATTTAGATTTGCTGTTAGGAAGAAGTGTTTTACTCAGAAGATGGTAAGGCACTGGCACAGGTTGCCCAGAAAAGCTGTGGCTGCCCCATCCCTGGAAATGTTCAAGGCCAGGTTGGACAGGGCTTGGAGCAACCTGGTCTAGTGGAAGGTGTCCCTGCCTATGACAAGGGGGTGGAACAAGATGATCTTTAAGGTCCCTTTAACCCAGACCATTCTATGACTCTGATTTTGCAGGGCACACAGCTCTGTGGCCACTGGTCACTGCCTGGAGAACACCAAGAGCTGAATTTGCTTCCCTGCATGGCCCCAACCCCAGGGTGCAGTGAGGGCTTTTCCCCTGGCAGGCAGCATGAATCAACTTTGATTTAAGGCTTCAGTCTCAGATCCAAACTGCAGCACCAAACCCCCTTGCACAGCCTCCAGGACTCAGCACAGCTAATTGCCCCATGTTCCTGCCCAACCCTTGCCAAGAAAACACCCCTCTGAGCCGGTACCCCACACAGCTCAACCTTCTCACATGCACAGCAGCTCAGCATCAGGGTGCTTTTTTCAAGAGAAATTAATGAAAACCTCCGTAGGGATCAAAATACACTGAAAAAATAGAACCTGGCTTCTGTAGCAATTCTCCTCCATTCTTCTCTGATGCCAGGGGTGTTGGTTTAACCCCCTCTCGGGGCACAGAAAGCCTGTCTGTTCGAGGCAATTATCGCTGTGTACCGTGGCATGGTGATGTTCAGTGCTGCAAATTCAGCTTCCCAAACACGCATTTAATTTAAGATCTAATACTGGATGTTAATTGTATAGTGCACAGTAAACGACTGATCATTAAAACATATTAATTGAGGTTTAACAGCTGTGTAATAGATATTACATCTCATACTTATCAGCAAATATGATTTAATAATCAGTTTAGATGGGTGTATGGATGGGAGATGTAGCATGGTTGGGTAGATTGTGGTCGTTCTTTGTTCGTTTGCTGACCCCTAAAGATACTTTTCCTTATGGTTGGAGAGGAGCTGAGCAATCACCAGGCAAATCATAGAATCATAGAATGGTTTGGTTTGGAAGAGACCTTAAAGACCATCTTGTTCCAACCCCCTGCCATGGGCAAGGACACCTTCCACTAGACAAGGCTGCTTCAAGCCCAGTCCAACCTGGCCTTGGACAGTTCCAGGGATGGGAATGTTGAGCTTCAGTGTTCTCACCTGGGCAAGTCCCAAAGCGTTTATAATCTCTATAAGAGGAGAAATGAAGGAGTCATGAGTAGTTCCTCCTGCAAAGCTGGAGCTGAACTGCAGGGACCTTTACCCTTGACTGTGTTTGCACGACTCAAAATTTGCTCATTAGCTCACTGCTCCTCATCCCCACCGTGGCTCCACTCACTGAAGCACAGAGCAGTAGGTTGCCTTGCTGCACTGCATGGCTGTTCAGAGACCCAACAACTCATTGTAGCAATGAGCTGAATTTGTGATCCCACCGTTCCAACAAAAACACAGTGCTGGCTTAACCCACCATGCTACCAAACCACATGCTGTGACATCAAAGGTTGTGAAATCTGTGATGTGCACTCTGACCTTTTATTTTCCCCTTACCCAAAGGAAAGGAAGGGCTTGATTTCAATAGGATCAAGCCTTCCTAGTGCTTTCACTGCCAAACAGACCCCTGCAGCACAGCGTGCATTGCTGACACACTCAGCAGCCGGCTCAGCACCAGCACAGCCCCGAGGTGTTCAGTGCCAACAGCCAAGAACAGC